AAAAATGGATGACAAATGTAATAGACTATAGACGTTTAAAGTATCCCCGATAGAAAGAGACTCCAGTTATTTAACTGCTAAATACGGTTATCAGATTCGCGGCCCGAGATAAAATCACACGACAGACGGACATTCAGGCAATTAGCGTCAAATGTGGAAATATGGATCTAGATTTTCACACGTATAGGACCCCGCCGTTATCTTTAGCCTTTGATAATGAAAAGCGAAAACCGTCGCTCCGTTTTTGGCGCGTTTGATTCGAACCGGCTCCTCTCCTCGTTGACCGAGCGAAATCAAGAGCGATCGTTAAGCGCTCTCGGCTCTCTAGCTTCTGTCCGGTTATCGAATTTCGGCTCGGAACACCCAAGACTGGACGAGTTCCGCTTTGAGACGCGAGATACGATTCGGACCGATCCGAAGGTTGGCGCGACGCGGGGAAACGCCAGTCCTCGATTCATACGATCCCGTGTCATCCAAGTCCACGGTGTGTTTACGTTATCGTGCGCGACGGAGTTAATCCGTTCGATAGAAACTGTACGCTGCTGAACGTCGGCGATACGCCACGCGCGAATGTGTGTATACAGAGAGAGCTCCGTGCTCCGATCGGCATGTCTTTCTCTCTTTCTCACGGGCCGGTCACGAACACACGCACGCAGCGGGAAGGCGACGAAGACGTGCGTGAATGAAAACGTAAATAATGCTCGCGGGGGCGGGGGCGAGGGCGAGCGCGGGACACGCGCATATATTTGCCCGCGTTCTCGGGAGAGCGCGAAATCGCTCCGGTTACGTAACATTATTTTTATCTGCCGGCGTAATGTTATTATCCCGTCGGCTGTGACAATAACTGAATCCGAGGTTCATTCAACTCCATCTATTTATCGAGAGAAAGAGAGAGAGAGAGAGAGAGGCCGGATATCGGGCCAGTCATTGAAAAAGTGTGACAATTTCGGCGAGACTCGTGATTTCGTGGGATTTCTATCTCGATCCGCGAGCCGTCGGCGCGAAACGACCTTTTTTCCCGCGTTGCGGGGAAAAAAGAAGGCAAGATATTACAGCGAGCCCCCTCCCCCCCCACCCCGCGTTATACTTGGGTGTCTCGGAGCGTCGGTGAGATCACCTGTAGCAGACTAAATACCCATGTGTTCCCATCGGACGTGCTCATATACATTGGAGATCGTCTGCTGCCGCTACGTCGCGGTCGCGTCGTTCTGCGCGCGGTCCGACCGCGCGAGTCGCGCAGACCCGCGCTCGCTCCGGTCGCCGCCGCTGCCCGCTGCCGATACATCGACGTTTTATTGACCGTACGCCCCGTATGCCGTATGCCGTGACCGTGCATAGTCTCCGGCGCGTTCACGCCATCGCGGGTTTTCCCCGTCGGGTTATCACCCGTCCCTCGGATGCCCCGTACGTCTCGGCTTTGCTTCAATTATTATTTTCAAAGAAATCGATTGATCCGATTAACGACCTGCTCTAGTTCGAAGGGGACGACGTGGATTCGTGGAAATATAATTTTCCCGGAGTAGGAAAGAGATGTAGGACACGCGGCTCCAGTTAGAGCTCGATTCTGAAGCCGCGATTGAAATTGACGCGATTCTCGCGTGAAATGGAGCATCGACGGAAAGTAATGGTTCATTTCGCGGATCGATCTCGCTCGCGAAATTGTTCCCTCGCGCGCGTTCCTGGCCTCGTCGTTTCATAACGTCGTAGACCAAGCCGCGCTGGAGTAACATGGCGGGTATCGCCGCGACGCGGACGGCGCCGAGAGCGCATGTACTCCGCGAACGCGTCGTGCGGTTAAAGATCCGTGCGAGCGCTCCCGCCCTGGTGGCCGAGCCAACGGGGCCGACGAATGTTGTCCTGTTCCCCTCGTCGCGCATCTCGCGGGATATTATCTCGCGGTGGTGAGTATCCCGGGGCGCGCGCTCTCTCTCTCTCTCTCTCTCTCTTTCTCTCTCATTCTATTTCTCTCTCTCCCTCTCTCCCTCTCTCTCTCTCGAGCGCCCTGGGACGGCTCGATGCCGCAAACGACAGCGTCCGGAAACTTGGTGTACCGGGGCGTCGCGCGCGCGGATCCTACAATAATAATCCCGCTTGTCGCTGCGCAGAGCGAGAGAGAGTTCACGGGGAGTTCTTACGTTTCGCGGAACGGTACATTGCGATTGCGTTCGAGAAACCGCGCTCCGTGGGAAGCGCAAGAAGTTCGATGGCGTGTCGCAGAGTGACAGTCGCATGATCCGGCGTACCGAATATAGCCGAGCGCGATACAAAACGTCACGTCGTCGTCGCTCTCGCGCGCGCGCGCTCGAGTGGGGATGATCGCCGCCGCCGTCGCCGCCGCCGCCGCTGCCGCCGTCGTCGTCGATTTCGACCAATCGCGGCCGCGCTCGCGTCGCAACCCCCACCGCCCCCCACCGCCCCTCGCCTACGATCGCCGGCGTTATCCGTGTCGCCCGCACGGTTCTTTCGCTTACCCGCCCATGTAAACGCGGCCTGGTGGGGAGGAGGGTAACCCCGGGGCGAGGGACAGGAGCGCGAGCGGAGGGGAAACACGGCGGGGAGGAGGAGGTCGCTAATATCTGGGGCTCCGGCGGCCGCGCAACTCGCGCCCTAATCGAACTCTACCGGAGTCGCGGTATACTCTCCATCCCCACCCCGTCGTCCGCTCCTTCCTCCCCTCTCACGCTCTCGTCCGCGCTCCTCGTTCATCCTCCCTTTTCCTTCTCCCGCTTCTTCTCCTTCTCCTCCGCCACTTCCTTGGCCTCCTGATCCCCCTCGACCGCCACGCGAGGGGCCACCCTTTCGCTCACTCTCGCTCGCTCTTTTCGTCGGGAAAGTACTCGACGAACGAGTACCGAGGCCGTAGAGACCGAGCGGTACTTCGCAAGATGGAAACGTCGCCTTTCGATCTATTCCCCAAAACTCGCGTCTATTCCCGAACATTGCGATCGGCGTCACTCCGATCGTCGCGCGATTTCCGTCCCGTCGAGAAGATCGCCGGACGTCCTCTCTCGTGGAACGGACGACGATGCTTTCGCGCACACGTATACACGCGTGTAGTATCAAATTTCGATAAAATTCGACCGGTACCGATACGTCGAGACGCGTAGCATCCGCGACAGGAGAGTAGAATTAATTCAAATCGTATGTGAAATCTCCACGACAATCGTTCCTGTCACGACGGGGGATTATGCAATCACCGGCAAAAACTTGTTTGCTACGTTCCGGATACTTTAAGCTTTTCTTTCCGCACACGTACGTTCGTTTGTATCCTGAGAGGAAGGCGGCGCGCTGAACGTGACTCGTCGACGTACTTGATATCTCTCTTTAAAGATGAAATAAATTTAATTTCAATTATGTAATGCGAAAACTCACCCCAGAGTCAATTCCTTGAGTATTTGGTGTTGTAGCTCGCTGTTGCAGATTGTGGAAAGCCTAAAAAGAGACGCAATGTTACGAGTTGTCTATTTTTACATATTACAGAAATATACCGTAAACATATATCTTTAAACCATACATTTCTGCCCTGCTTTTTAATTTTAACATATTCACCGAAATATTGATAGATTTTATCGTATGTGTGTATCTTTCTACAACTTTTAAATATCTCAAATAAGTTATTTACAAAGCTCAATGTGTCAGATAAAAGTTTGCGAAATAAAAGATGAAAATAAAAATCAGGATTGTACATTGCTCGTATAGTCACTTAACTATCCATTAATTTATATATTTTTTCATAAGCAAGTCGTGTCGCATTACAATATAAATTCTCGAGCAATGCTCTGTCTTAAAAAAATATCGCTTATGTCAATGACATCGTTATTACATCAAGTTAATTTGCAAAAAGCGATCTATGTTATACTATACTTTCTGCTCCTATAATAAATACTCCATTCTCGCAAAAACTCCTTTCTTACGTGTAAATTACATAAATGTCAATACACTTGTGTTGGAAAAGTTATTGTACAGAGCAATAAAAATGACTGAAATTTTGATACATTCCCGAGACATCAGAAACACTTGAACCATTAAAAATTATACGTGTTTCAGCAATGTTCACCTGGGACTGGCTGGTAGTCTGTGGTTGCGGTGACGCAGCAGGTGGTGGAGCTGGAGACTGAGACAAAGCGCGCTGTGGCGACTGACCCGATGGAGTGACCTGATTACTCGGCGGTGGAGGCGGATTTGGTGGACCGCCTTGATTCCACCCCCTTTGTTCCGTATATAAGCTTGAGGGATGACTGGTTTGCGTCGTATAAGAGTTTAGCTAAAACGATACAAGAAAACGTCGTGTAAAAACATTCCTGAACATTAATATACAAGTAACAGACAGATTGAAGTCACTGATCGAAAGCAAAGTCGATTTACCTGATGATGACTGTATGGGGCGTGCGGTCTCGTAGGAGAGGAATATCGTTGGGTATATTGTTGATATTGCATGGGTGTCGGAGAACTCTGAGCTCCTGGCCCTGTATGTAATCTCGGTGAACCCTGATGGTTTGGAAAACGCACGAGAATTAGAGTCGCATGTACAAATACAATGTTTTAGTTAGATGTAAATAAAAATTTGCAGATAGCACCGGACAATTATACGGAAAGAGACTTGTAGCAACAAAAAGTACAGTACAATCGTTACGCTAAAGTTTGTCGTTGGGTTTAACCTAAGTGGAACGTGGTAGCGCAAAAAGACAGAGATCCGTTTGTTTACCGTTTGCGGAGGACGCTGGCTGGGTTGCGGATAAACGGGAGGCACAACCGGTGGCCTTTGCATAGGCCACGGCTGTTGATACTCGGGTCCCATTCCGGGATACGTGCCGTGAAACCGATGTACCGGAGTGGACGCCTGCAGCAACTGGTTCAAGGTAGGCGTAGGACCAGCGGTCTGGGACATACCCTGGCCGGAGAGAAACCTCGGCTGGCCGGAGAAGTTGCCGGAGCTGGCGCCAACATAGAGCCGGGACTCGATCTTGGATGTGGAGTAGTGCTCCTCCATCTCGGCCCGGTGGGTCCGCTCGGTGTCGTGCATCAAGTGTTTACCATGGTAGTCGAGCTGCTGCTTGCCGGGAAAGTCGGCGTGCTTGGCGACGTATTCCGGGAGCTGCTGCTTGCCGGGCGGATAGTCGGCGAGCGACTTGGTCGCGGCGGCGAACTCGCCGGACTTGTTGTTGCTGTACTCGTCCGCGTAGGCGCGTATCACGTTTGGCGCGAACGGATGGCCCGGGTGACCGGGATGGCCGGGCGCGTCGTGCGGCTCCTGCTTGCCGACGGGGACGGGCTCCTGGGGCCCGGGCTGGCCGGGCTCGCGCGGCGCGTTTACCTCACCGGCGGCAGTGTGTCCGCCAATGTCCTCGCGGTATTGACTCATCTCGTAGCCCGTCGTGTCCCCGCCGCCGCGATTCACATATTTAAGCAGCTGGGCCGCGCCCCGGGACACTTTATCGTCCGGCTCGGAATCCAGCTGCTGCTTCGCACTAACACTCGCACTATTCCCACCGACTTGCGTACGCTTCTGTGCGCATTTCACGGACTCGTTCAGCTTCACATCGTTTTGTTGGCTCTCGGCTTGCGTCGCAGCCATGTTCTCCTCTCCTCACGGAGCCATCGTCGTTTTCGTAAACTGGCCAATCGCGGGACCTCGTGCGCGCCTCGCTACGGGGCCAAGTACTACGTACTCGAACGCGAAATACCGCGTAGTCGAACGGCTCGCGTCGCGGCTAACACCTCACGGCACATCCTCGATCGCCCGTGCGTGGACTAAGCGGCGCCCTACGAAAAATCACTTCCTGCCGTTTTCAAAGTGGAGGGAATCAAAAAAAACTCATATGCGAACGTCAAAAGCAGCGTCGCATGGCGCGCGCCATCTCGCGGCGCGCTCACGCACCGAGGCCGCCTTCGCTTCCTTCGGCCACCGTTCGCCGTTTCCAACGCGTCCGCGTCGCCCATTCCCCATTTCCGTTCGCCCGCGCGCGCCCCCCGAAAGCCTCGTTTCTATCGCCCCGATCGCCCGCCACGATCCCCACGATCCCTATCCCTCTGTTCCCCGATTACCCCTTTCTCCATCCGGACTCCGGAGACGGGGATTCGAATCGATCTCCCGAAATTACGAGGCTCCTCGTTATCGTCGTAACTCGTAACTCTGTCGGCCGATTTTCTAGCCGTGCGTCAATAAAACTCGCTAAATTACGGTGCATTGACGCTTGCGGTTGTCTAGGCTCGTCGATCTATCACTCGTCTAATCGCTTTTTAATCACACGCTTTCTCATTCTCTCTCTCTCTTTTCCTCTTTAAAGCCTCGCTACGCGTTTGTCGCTCGCTTTAAATCGATGTGGAGAGCGTGTCGAAAAAAACGCTGCCGAACAAACGAACCTAGTTTCCGAATCCACGAGGATTTTGCCGCGATTTCCTATCTCTCGATTCGGATTCGACGAAACATCGTAAAATTTGTAACGCGATGCGACACGCGACTCGCGGATCTGATTCACCGATTTACCGTGATATTCAAACGATAACATTGCCCCCCCGATGCGATCCTCGCACTTTAAAGCGAAACAGACGGATACCCGGTCGAAGGGAGGGAGAAGGATGTCGGTGACGGAGTGCAGGTGGTGCAGCTGGGGCTGGGAGGCGGAGGGTGGGGGGGTCTGGATCTCGGCCGCGTGTTTACATCGTGAAGTTATCGCGGAGCGGTGTTATCGACGGGACGGCCGCGGGCCGCGATAGCGGCCATTTGCATTCGCGGGGACGGACGACGGACCGCGGTCCGAATGGAGAGCGTGCCGTCGCGACTGTGGAAGTGGTGAAACGCGTCCTCGGCGTGCCCGACGACCTGCCCCCCGCGTCCATGAAGATGGCGAGGGCGAGCAGTGACGTCTCGAGAACCGTGTGCGCGAATACGATTCGAGAGAACGAGAGGAAGCTGCAGGAGGCGCGAATTAAGAATCAGGTATTGCGCCACGGGGGGCCTCCCGTGTGTCCGTTCTGTTCCGCCTGATGTGTACTGTTCCCTCCGTCGAGGGACCGTTTGCGCCATCCGCTACTCCGTCCCGTTTCTGGCCTGGTCGCGTTATACCTCGCCCATTTGTGCGCCCCGCTCGTCGGCTGGTCACAGCTCACGTGTTTTTGTTTTTACTCCCATTTCAGGGAAAGGGTCGAGGCAGGCAGGATCTAAACAAACTGTTTGGCAAGCTCAATCAAGCCGTGGAAACGAGCTCGCTGAAGTTTTCGGATAAATCGAGTTCGTCGTGCAACAAGAGCGTAAGTGTCACTTTTGCCATTGATGTTTTGTATACATTGTTTACGTCACGTGTAACGAGATGTACGGTAGCGATATATCAGTTTTGTACATCTGTCAAGGTTTCGAGATGCTGGTACGGCCCGATACTAGGATTCCCGTCTGGATCCTGGTGGGGCATCCTCATGGACTGCTCCAGGGACAGGATGCACGAGCCTTTCGACGCCGACATACACGAGGGGCCGTTCGGCGTTGTTTCCGTTTGCACCTCGCATAGCAATGTAAAGGAGGACGTGGATCTTGGTGATTATCTGACGCTTACAGGCCAGGTGTATCGCGAGCATCAACCCAGTGCGGATCCGTTCATTCGAAACTACGAAAATCAGATACCGTTGAGATTAATAAGAAGTTACAATCTACAAGATGATATCGCGCCTAACACGGGATACAGGTACGACGGGCTCTACGTAGTCATAGACTGCTGGATCGGCGCGGCTTTGGATAGAACCAGGTACAACAAGTTTGCCTTGATGCGTCTCAGTGATCAGGAGCCACCCAACTGGGGCAGCAAAGGCTGGGAAAACCTGTCTTCCATACGACGTTACATCCCATTGACGAAGTTGGACCATCCAAACACATATGACCTGAGAAAGTGTTCGAATAACAATGGCGTCACCTGCCGGAAGCGAAAACTCAGTCACGGGGACAGTCGCGAGGGTCTGCCCGTCGCGTTAACGACACCGTCGATCGACATCAGCAGACGGTCAGCACCGGAGAGCTCCATCGTAACGCGTCACGTCTTTAAGAAGCTACCGAATAACGCGGAGAGCGCTGTATCAACTTCTGTACCTGATCAAAAGATGTTGCTGTGCCTTGGTGCGTCGGCTACTAAAACCCACAGTACAAACATCTCGATACGCATGGGCCTGTACGAGTCGTCGCACAGTTCGCAGGACGCGAAGAAGAGCGTCTCGACGATGTTGCAGAAACCCTCGAAGCCAATCGACATTACCGTTCGTACGGCGTTGGACATGGAGAGTAGTCGCTTGACCCCCAAGGAAGACGTTAAGCCTACCGAGAAGACGGATGCGGATAAGACGCGAGTTAATTCTCGGCCGAATGAAAACGTATCCTACAACGGTCACGTTGCGACTGATAACGCGAGCGCTTCTCCGTTCGATAAACATAGAGAAAACTCGGCGGTCGTAAACTCGTCGAAACATTCGTGCTCTGTGTCTTCGTCGCTGAGCAGCCTCAAGAACGGTGCAAATACCACGATCGAACGTAAGGAACAACTGCAAAGTGCTCAACAATTCCAAGACGTGCAAAATTTGAGCGCCAACAATATCGTTAATGATTCGGCACAGAAATCGAGTCCCGGTAACGAATCGCCGAGGAATTCGGTCGTGACGCATGAAAGAATTTCCGAATACCATGACTCTTCGGACACACCGAGCGAATCGTTCTGCGCGCAAAGCATCAAGTCCTTGGACTCGTTGACGCCGGACAAGATCTTAAACTTGATCAATAAGGAGATACACCATCCTCTGTCCAAGTTACTGATCGGAAACGTGATAGGACTGACGATCGAGGAATGCGAGATGTGGAACGCGTCGGAAAGGGAAACGACTCCGGAGCCCAAGACTAAGAAGCATGCGTCGACGAGGGCAAATCTTAGGAAGAAGCGGAAAGGAGCGGACAACATAAAGGAGAACGTCGCGTGTTTGGACAACAGAAGGTATTACAAATATTCCAGATCCGAGCGATTATTTTGGAAAGTGACGAAACAAGCAGATGGGGAAAAATTCGACAAGTTGCTACCCGAGGTGGATCACCAATCCTGCAACGATGCGGGCCTGAAACGTAATAATAACGTTAGGCGAAGCGATCGGATTGGCGTGTCCAAGGAAAACAACGAGTACTTATCGCCGTTTCGCGTACAGACTTCGCTTCAGACTATCGCGCAACACACTCGTAGCTCGTACGACATAAAAACCCGTCTGAGGGCCGACAAGGGCGCGGTATTGGCCAAGCCGGATTTTCCTAATTCGTCGATCAAAAAGAATAAGTATAAGAAACGAGATAGGGAAATTGCCAACTTGACGATAGACGCTAATTTCGGTCCCATTACACGCGGACCCAGAAACAGAAGATTACGATGCAGGACTAACGGATACGCGAGATGTTGCAGCACCTTCAATACCGTAATATATGCGCCTAACAAGCGATTTAAGTCTAGTTTTGAACGAAAGAGCAAGCTCAAGGTCGGTCGTCAACGTGCCGGGGAGAGACAGACCAAGGACAAGTACAGGATGACCAGCACCGTGCATGCGAGCAGCAAGGATATCAACAATTCAATCGGGAAGCGAAAAAATCTCAAAGGTAATCCTAGTAACGATAATAATGAAAATCGCATGCATCACATTAATAACGCCGGTAACAGGAAGAAGGCGAACGAAACTGAAACGGCCGACCACAACATCACCGAGACTTCCTTTAACAGGACCCTTCGGAAGAAGCTGACACGGACAATCCCCCTACCGCATCGTGCCGCTCAAACGTCGCGTTTATCCTGCTTTCGCAAAAAACGGGACGGGAAACCCAACACGATGGATGCGACGACGCAGTGCAGACTCATCTCCGATAATCCAGAGGTGTACGTTATTGGACAATTAAACGATCAGAGAACTATTCTGAAGATGGAGTGGGATAAATTGGAGAAACTGAAAGAAACCGCGTTGGACGTGCCCGATCAAGGCTCCCGGGTTTATCGAGCGTCGCGAAACTGCGCCACTTCCACCCTCACGGAGGACAACGTGAGTCGCAAGAGCGACGAGGGATACGCGGACTCTCTGCAGGATAGAGCGTCGGCCTTTGTGCCGGTGAACGCGTTCAACAGCGATCTACGGATCGCGCGTCTCAGATCGATCGGTTTTAAGCCCATAATTAAGCCGCCATCTCCGCTGCTCGCCGACGACTTGGAGATCATTCAGAACGCGCTCGTTACCACGAGCAAAGTAACGAAGCGCGACGTTGCCGAGGAGTATCACAAGTACGCGAATAACGAGGATAACAACGCAGTTGTTTACATGGACGACGAATTGCAGTATCAAGATATTGAGGAGGAAGAAGAGGACGAGGAGGAGGACGACGACGACGACGAAGATGAGAAACAATCAGCTGCGAACGCGTCGATGAAATCGACGTTAAGCGGTGTACAATCGAAAACCGGTAACATGCTGCCGGAAACGTTACCCGCGCGCGAAAACTCTGAATCTCCTTGGCACGGCTGGAAGAAGATAGTGACGGATGACAGATCGTACTGGATCGGTTGGTAGTCGATAGTAGATTGTAGGATGTCGGTGAATACATACAGGGATGGTGCTTTTTCGCTTTATTGCGATCAGAAAAATGAATCGTTTTATCCAAACGTGTACAATATTATATCTTTATTTTTTTTGCCAAAAATTAAAGGCTGTTAATAACATTCTAAATTATTCTTCTAACAGTAATATGCTATTCGAGTTGACTAACATATTTGTAAGAAAAGAAGCATCGACAGATTATTGTATAATTAAAATTTCTAATATATACATATACATTATTCTATATAGAGAGAATAATACATATGTATGTATATAGGTATGTATATTTTCTATATGTGAGGTATTATTAACAGATGTTTTAATGTAAATAAATAATATTCTATTCACGTAGTTGTGTCTTACCTTTATTATGAGATGTAATAGGACAATAAAATTTGTTCACAGATTTACACGTTCACTTCGTTCTTAAACGGCGACGAAAGATTTCGGCACAACGTGTTGTCATATAAAATAGATCTTTTGTCAACTTCGATCGTCTCTCTTATGCTTTTAAAAAAAATATAAGGATTATACACAGTTGTACACATAAGACACCGAATACCAAATGTTTATTCATATCTGACACGATGTTCGTCGATCGTCCTTTTCTTGCGCATATAATTGTTCTGTCTTCTTTTTGTCGGGTTTTTTTTTCGTATTGAAAGGCTTCCGTCGGGAAGGAAAACTCATCGATTTCTTTGCGTTTATCAGATCTAATCTACCTCGGTGATATATACAAAGTACGAATTTCGTAAATGACCAAAGAAAGAACAGTTTTTGCGGTAGGACTTGTGTGGAGAAGGACGCAAATATTCCTGTGGCTCGCGAGTGGCTCTTATATGAGTACGGATGCGAGATTGCAAAAGTCAAGGTTCGTTAAATGCAACACGTAAATTAAAAACAGATACAAAAGTGTAAACAAGTGTCGTCGCTCACGTACGTACTGTACTCCGGACAGGAGACGCGGTATCGCGCGTGAAATTAAGTACCATACAATTACCTTTGCTTATTCGTTACGAAGAGTTAAGCATTTATCGTGCAGTTAATACCTTCTTGTAGTGTCGCAGTAGAGCCACGGGTGTACAGATAACACTGCCTCGAACACGTCAGCATAGTAAAATAAATATCTTCTATACTATTTCTTTACTCGTATGTTGTAACATAATACATATATTAACATGGATGTAACATTATGGAACTATTACAGTGAAACTCAATGCACTCTTACGCCCCGCGCGATAATCTTTTTTTCCTCCCTTTTCTCCATCTTTTTTTTTAAAGGTCCGCGAGAACGTTTTTACCTAATTAAACTCGCTTCGCGCGAGTCGCTTAATAACATATCGCTTTTCTCTTGCATCCCCCTCCTCCCCCCCCTCGAAAGCAGATCTCTAAAGATTTATGGAAGTTTCGCGTTGTGTAACGTAACGTCGTCGGTACGATTCTCGAGCGTGAATCACATTTCCCCGAAACGCGTCCGTGTGCCTTATTGAAATTCATCGTCGCTGCTCAGTAACATTGTTTTTTCGTTATAATTTTGCGAAATCGTAGCGACGCGCTGGTGAGAGGTGTTTCGCCTTTGCGGTGGTGGCACCGGCATGTTTTGCGGATCATCCGGATCGTAGCTGGATACTCGCATACCACGTTGTCCTTTCGGGCCCCCTAATTGTTACATCATTGTTACACATTACAGTGAGTAAACACACGAGATACACGTGTCCATCGGCCAATAAATGTGCCAATCGACCGCATGTAAATGTATACGGCCTACGCCTACGGCGCGCGCCTGTCTTTTATATTAATTGAACGTAAAATTGTGACCGAATACAGATAATCTTCTCCGAAATGTCACATTTACATCTCGAACGTTCTTGCTCTCGGACCGCGCTTGCAAAATCGAGGATCGAAACCGGTATAATTCCGGCGAGTTCAGTTTCCTACGCTATAAAGAACCTTTATTTATAAAAAGACCACTATATAGCATTCCTATCCACGTATTCTACATCCCGATACATCCAAACGCTGAACTCGATGGAATTTTAATGGATTTCGAGCTCTGCACGAAAACTGCCAATAACGCGAAAAGTACGAAAAAAGTAAAAACGGATCCGAATCGTAACAACCGCGAATAGCGATTATTATTAATCTGCTCGAGAGACTTGATCAGAGCAACAAAGTTCGAATTCTTACACATAATACACGTAATACAAAGGTGCAAGAGAAAAAAGAAAAAAATTTTTTTTTGTATATTAATGCGACATAATCGCTCAATATAAACGATTCATGCAATTTATTATTAATATAAAAAATAAAATAATCGCAAGCAGCTAGGATTGTGATAATTCTGCCATTGTAAATGCAGTACTGTTGAGAAAGAGGACATAATGACGTGCTTTACATGCCCGGCCGTTTCATACCGTATATTCGCATGCTACATGGTACCATGTGGTAGGAATATAAAATAAAAGCAATAAAATCAAGTTGACAGTTACAATGTTATAGAAAAAAAAAAGACACGATATATTAATAAATATCCTAATTATTCTTTACACTTATTATAGAGCAACACTCTCCTATAGAAGTGGAACTACGCCATTCTCTCCCTCTCCCGTTTACTTTCTTCCTCTTTCCTAAATGCTCCTCTTATGTTAAGTGCTTAACTTCTATCTTACAGCAGAGTTTGTTAATCGCAAAATAGATGGGTCTTATATGCATATAATACGTATATATCGATGGTATATTAAGTACAACCCTTATTTTGTAATTTCAGCGGAGAATTCATTTTTATCGACCCCTTGCGGACAGATACCGATCTCTAAGGCATTGTATAATTCCGTAAGCAAAGTATAGTGCTGTATCGTGTATCTTTCGATCCTCATTTAAAGTCGCGCATAAAGATCGATGTCCAATTTCTTGAAATTAAAAAAGTGACGCCTCACTGTGTCATATCTTTTCGTACGGCAAGTTGGTATTAACGTCTGAAAAACAGCAAACAAAAGTGCCTTCAAAGTAATTGTCTGAATCTAGTAAACCGGCACATATAAGGAAAGTTTATGTATAATTAGTTTTTTTTTTATACAAGTAAAATGATAAATATTAGTGAACCATCTTCGAAAGCAAATTTTCTACTATCCGTGATTTCGAATTTGCTTGAAATTTGCGTGAAATTCGCTACATACACGTATGTGAGTGGATAACATATATTAATAAAGATGTATCGGTGCCTGCATTGGTCAGCAGTGAAGTGTCAGAAAGTACAAGTGAAATATAAATTATATACAAAAGCACCAAAGCCTGTAACTGAAGCGTTTGCAAACTCGAATGAAACGTGTATCTTGTGTAACTATTATTGGCATTATTGACATTATACGTCGGATAATCTTGCTCTATAATTAAAACATTCAGTATTACAGCCTTATTTTAACATGACATTTTCTTACGAATGCATGAGAAAACGTATATAAAAACTGAAATAAATGAGACGACGCGTTCATCTCATACTATGTCATGCTGTATGAAGGACAATATGTACGACATCAATAAAAATAAATAAAGACGTATACACACTAATAAAATAATTTATATAGCAATGCGTAAAAAAACTAAGAAATTATTACAAAAGTGATACATACCTGCGCTATATTGCGTGTACTGCTGATACTGTGGATGGAAATTATGGATGGCATCGGTCATAATGTCTTTTGGATTCATCGTTTCCTACAAAATATTATTGGCGAATAGAATATTAAATTAATGACAAAAATGGAGTATCTCTCTGTAAAAAATTCAGAAATATTTTATACGTACTTTCAAACTGCTACTGATGCTTTGCATCGTCACGCTTCTACCTCTGGAGTCAGTAACACAGCCAGCTGCGTATACTTGATACGGGAATGCGTAACGTAAAGCTATAGCAGCGAATAACATCTCGATACAAATGAGGAAATTTTGGTAACCGGCGGAGACTGTACCAGCGCTCGTTGATTGACCCAGACTGTTTATAACGGGCGAAATGACATTTGCTTTCTCCAAGATGGCTAACAGAACTCCTGCGTGGAATAGAAAAGTACTTGTTGCAATTGTTATATACTATACTTGATACGCGCGTATTTACAAGCGTTTAAATTTCAGATGTTACCTTGCCAGAACGACAAGAAGATGACGCTCTTGACTGTACAAAATTTGAGCACAGGCTCGAACGGCGTCAGTAGATCTCTCGTAGCGAAATAGAACAGAAACAGCCCATAAAGCGCAAGCGACACGCTGATGTTGTAGATTATCGTGATGTAAATGTAGCCACCGTCGGGTGACCAATCACCGTCTCTGTAATGACCGAAGGCTTGCAGAAATATGATGACAAACGCCATCACCGGCTTGACCAGGCAAAACTGTAAAGTGGCTTGCTTGCAGAATCTCAGGAAGCCGATGGTGTAGGTCTTCCCGACCAGGCAACAGGTGCCGTACAGGCAACTCGAGCGTATCGGCTTGCCCCTGATCTCGGACATGATGTTTCCCTCACCGCCTAGGTACTCGTAGCACAGCGACAGAAAGTTATATATAACAAACGCCTCGTAACAGTCCCGCACGGTGAAGAAGTAAACGTAGTAGCTCTCGCTGTTGAAGAACAGCAACGAGATCCAGGAGTAAATAGCGTAGATGGGCACGATGAACAAAATTCGCACTATCCATCTCTGCTCCGTGGGATTCGTGTACCACCTTAGATGCTGGTAGATCTGCAAACAGGGAGGGCAGAGAGAAATGACAGCTGACAGTTGACAGCTGACGCCGAACCATCGAACGCGTCTCGTTGTATCGCCTATACCGACAATTCCGTACCTGTTGGCAAGTGAGGAAAAGCGCCGCGAACACGAACACCCCGGCGATGACCTGGGCCGCGCGGGTCTGCAGGAAGATCGGCGTCCCTTCCTTCGGGAGATCCGCCGCCGCCGCCGCCAAGTCGCTGACGTCGGTGGTCGTTGACATCTTGTCAAGTGGATTCACGTACGTGGCGTGCGTCCCTGTGACCCCGACACCATTCATACGTCAACCTGCTGGTGGCACTACGCGCGCAAACACAGGGGATTAATTTCTCGTGACGCCAGGACGACGAGACGCGACCGTTGACGCGTTTCCGCGTCGTATTCGTTACGAGTTACGACGTTCGACGCGGACGCGGAGGAGTCATCGCGCGATCGCTCGCGTAATTTCACGAGCGCGAGGACGCCCGCGGCGGAGAGCGGAGAGGAACGGAGGGAGTGGGAGGGTGGAGGAGGGGGGGGGAGGAGCACAGGAGGACAAAGGAGAAGGAGAGAAAGAAAGCGCGTGCGACTCGACTCGCGCGAACGTGGGACGGGACGGACACTCGCGGGTAAATCGATACACGTACGTGCGTAAAACGGAGGATCGCGGAATAATCTCGCCGTGCGAGCAGCGATGAGTTTCTCGGGACTCGCTTTCGGGACGAAGAACACCAGGCGCGGCCGACGGGGAGGGAGAAGGAAAATCCGAGCTAATCGTCACGTTATCGTAAACATAAGGCTCGTTCTCACGTAACCGTAACCGTTGCTGTTGTGCGAATTCAGCGGAATTGGGCCGACTTGGATCGCGAATCGAGACGCAACAATCGGGTCGCGCTGACGCAAGTCTCGCGGATTCTTTTCTTTCTCTCTCTCTCTCTCTCTCTCTCACATACACACACACACTCGGCGACTCTCGCTCGCTCTCTTTCTCGTTTTAGCAACGTACCCGTGCCCCCATTCGCGAAGTCCTCTCCAGATTTTGCAGCATACGCACGCTCGGCGTACCCTCTGCTCCCTCTCCCCGCGAGCTGTCCCGTTTACGTCGCCTCGCTCCCGCTGTCACGACGTCCGCCTTTCGACGCGGGGACGACAGCAGCTGCCAGCCTCTCTCTATTATTGGCGATTGTCGGTGAATCGCGCGCCTCGAACGCGCTTCGCGGGCCACCTGAAGACCTGAAGTCGGCCGCGATCTCAGCCAGGCCGCGGAAGACGGCGTCCGCCGTTTACGGGCGACGCACAAACACACCGTACATAAACGCAACTATATGCGGAATTAGTCGCTCCTCCGCGAATCGTTCCACTCGCGACTTCTGCTGCCCGCACTCGCGCACTCCCGCGCTCGCGGCACTCTCCGTCCGCGGATGGAGTAGCTGTATATCGTCCACTTCCGAGAGCGCTCTCCCGACGCGTACCGCTGCCCACTGCTCCGGAAGAGATCGGGGAGAGCACCGGACGGCGGATCGTTGTCTCCCTTTCGCGAGATTCGTCGGCGTCGGCGATCGCGAGATCGAGCGACGCGAAAACGCACGGTACGCGAACCTGTTTTTCCCCGAGCGAGCCAACCGCCAACCCTTCGCCGCCGAGCCGATCCCGCGACGGTTTCACTCCCACCCCACCACGCGTGCGTGCGCCGCGTGTGTGTGTACTCCGTACTCCGCTGCTCGCCGCCCCCCGCCCGTCCACGAACCTGCCGCCCGCCGAGAAACTGGGAAATCGTTTCCGCGCAAGGCGACGCGGCGCCCCGTCTTGCTCTCTCTTTCTTCTTTCTTTCTTCCTTAGCTGTCCGCACTTTCTGCGCTTAAATTGAAGCACGATCACTGCTGTAAAAGGAATATCTTGTTTTTTTTTTTATATCAGTATCGGACTCGATTGCTCCTGCAACAATTGACGAGGATAGAATTGTTGAGACACTTCTCGGCGATTGTTCGACAATTGTCTCGTTGACGAGTTATTTAAATTAATTTTGGGGAAAATTAATTAATTTAAAGAGAAATTGTCTCACGCAATTTTCGAGGTAATAATGTTCATCGTGGGTATTCAAGGACGAGCCGTGGAACGCTTTTGAATCGTTATTGTTTAAGAAAACAAGTCGATATCGCTCTTGACAGTCCCGCTTCCGTTTCCACGTCCCGCGTCCTTGCCCTTGTTCCGCGATTAAAAGCTTTACGACGCCTGCGCGTTCCGCTATATCGCGACGATTTCAAGAAAGAATTTTATCGCGCGTTGAAACGCGCGGCCGTGAGTAAATCCTCGTGAAAGGTGCGTATCTCGTAATCTCGTTTCGACAGCGAGATCGGCATCTTTCGCGCCAGCTGCTGAAGGTCGGACCGCGAGAGACCGCGCCGCGGATCTTCGACCTCCGTGTCGATTTGAAGAGAGAGAAAATGAGATGAGCATCTGTTTTCAGTCCTTTTACGTTCCTCTCGCATTTGCGTAATCGTTCACGTTTTAAATAAACAACCGAGAAGACTTAATTACATAAAAAAAGAGTATGTACAGCTGGAAAGGCACCTCGCGCTTGACGTCACGATGTCGTCAACGGAGAAAGAGAAGAGAGAGATAGGCCGTGTTGTAGTTGCACTATGTGCACTTGAAACGAGCGCGGAAATGTAATCGGACATCGGAGAGAAAAGGAGAAGAGATGAAAAGTGCAGCTACGAACAATAAACTGAAAAAAACAATTGCGTCGATGGTTCTTGGCGGTCGAGTAGTACGCGTGGCGCGCCATCTATAGCTCCACTTTCCGTTCGTTGAAACTTCGTAGCGCGAGATCCGGGCTTGCCGGTCGATAATGCAGTTTCCGTCGCGACCCAGTCGGATTGTCTCGAGTTCCACCCTCCCGCTGCCCCCCGCCTCCCGCTCGTTCCGTCTTCCGTCCCGCGCTCCGCGCTACTCCGCGGCCCAGCTGTATTCTCGTGTCCTCGCAGGTTCGCGCTGTGTTTTGCATTTTCGCGAGGGTTGTCGTACGCGAGTCGTGCGGAAATGCCAGGATTACGAGGGCGGCTCTCGCGATCGCGTAATGTCGGTGGCAAGTGACGCCCCGGCGCTTCTCGCGGCACGCTATCTCTGCAGAACGATGTCAAGCAGATAAATTATGCCACGAAAAGAGAACACGTGAGTTTTCGGGATTTGTCGACCTTCTAACCTTTCGCCGCTCAGTCATCCGCGATTTTGCGCTGAATAATCCGAGAGCAAGAGATCGAAGGTACCTTCTCTCTTTCTCTCTCTCTCTCCACTTCCAACTGCAGAGGGACATGAAAAAAGAGTCATCCACGATCTGTCCGATTCTGGTTTTCCCTGAAATTCTTCCTCCGTCAAAGAGCGCGGAGAGACGCGCTTCAGATCACCCTCCCCACGTTCGTCCGTCTTGTGCTCTTTCTATCTAGAGATTTCGTTGCAGCAAAGCGAAAACATGGGAGCGAGATCGAAGAAAACGTATGAACGCGTACTTCAAGACATTGGCGGACCTTCTGCCGCCGCATCAGGAAGGTCGCAAACGCAACAAGGTCGACATCCTGATCCACGCCTCGAAGTACATAAAAGACCTCCATAGCCGCACCGAGGAGTTGTTCTCCACTCATGCTTCGGAGGCACACAGTACGTGTATTTCGAGACCTGCACGGCACGCCGCGGCGTATCAGTGGGAGGAGCGTTTCATTTTTACGTCTGCTCGGTGCTATATGTCATTCTGGTTTTTCAGAGGAAGAATTGGCTCGTTTGAAAAAACTCGTGACACAGCTGATGTCTCGTACCCAGTTACTATCCACTCTTCTTAAGGAGGCAGGAATTTCTGTACCAGCCGAGCCGGCTCTTGAAAAAATATCCCCTTTAAAGTGGTCGAATAAAATTAATGTCGACGACGTAGACAAATATTTTGATAAGATCGAAGAAAGTAAGTGCATTACCTGGATGTAGATTTAAAATTGAAAGTGATAATTCAAAGTTTTCTAATTTCCCGCTTCGCTTGCAGAGAAAACTTCAGAGAAGAAGAAAAAGGAGAAATCCACGGAAAATAAAGTGCCTTCTAAGAAAAAATCTGCAACACCGTCGGCTCCGAAAAAGCTGTCCGAGGAAGCTGCCGCCGCTAAGGATGTCTGTAATTCGATAGAGAATCAGGAGAATCGAGTGAACTGTGCCAATAGCAAAAACTATAATTCCGATAGTACAAGTAGCCTAGCTGAGACTGGATCGAAGGAAGTGGAGCGTTGTCAAAATGGTACAAACAGATTTAGAATTATTGCCGTTCAATTAAATGACTGTGCTTAAAGTCTTCATTGCTTGATGTTGATAAGCATTTATATCACTCCTATGTTTTAATTTAGATTCTGCTAACGAAGCGACCGCGACAGGAACAGCCAATACGAAAAAAAAGACTGGTAAATAAAAAACATGGTTTTGTTATATTAATAGATATATCAATATCTATTAATCTTCATTGCTAATGTAATTCTCTATTTATTTACAGTGGATAAGAAAGTCGAATCCCAAAAGTCATTGAAGAAGAAACGCAAACGCAAGGATGAGAAAAACTCGGCGTTGCCACCTATGGCCAACACTGTCACCAGTTTAACTCCTAATACCCTCATTTTGTCTGGTGGAAAACTGATGCCCCTCGTAGCTCCGATGACGTCAAACATCATCGTGAATACGCAGCAGGCATCGACGAATCCGATAATCCTCGGTAACACGCAACAGAATCAGATGATCGTGATGCAACCCTTGGCGAATCGTGTCCAGAACTCCGTCGTCTCGATATGCAATCACGCTCTGATTAACACCGTGCAGAAGGTCACTCTGAACACCGTGCCGAGTATTCGCACGAATATGGTTGTCGATTCTCACAACTGGGCGTCCAATGTGAAAAATATAATTAATGCCACGAAGATCGGCGGGCACAAGGGTATCTTGCCAAAAGGCAAAGAGATCACAAAGACGACTATGGCTTACAAAGTGCCTATACCAGCGATACACAAGGACAAAGTGGAGAAGCCCAAGGATAGCACGAGCAAAAAGGAGTCGGAAGTGAAAGCGAAGGGCAACAAGAATCATTCTAAGAGCCACAAAAGCGTTCAAAGTACGCCGGAAACGGCTGAAGAGTTGAGTGTCGAGAAGAAATCGCCGAAGGAACCTGCCAAGACTCATGAAGACGCGACAATCGTCCCGCGAAAAGGTGCGCTTAAACGCGGTTTATCTACAGAATCTGATTCCGCGGACGAGCCGGAAGACAAGAAACGGAAAGACACGAACGATGATGCAAACCAATCCGCCCAACCAATCGCTTCGAAGGCGACAGATTTCACCGCCACTTGCAAATCTATCGTAAGTTTGAAGCACGTTATAGAGAGAATAGGGGAGAACATCCGAGACGAGCATGCGACTGTCAGCAACGAGAAGGAATCTGCTGTCACGAAATCAAATAACATAGTTACTCAAGCAGCAAATGATACTAGTTGCGAAGAAACATCCGAGACGAGCAAATTAATGGATATCGTGGACACGAATTGTTTCGATATGAATAAGAAGACGACCGAGGATGTCGTGTCGCAGACCATTGCCTCGGACAAATTTCCCAGTGAGTCAGAGACAGATGCACCTGATCGATCGTCTAATGATTTCAACATGTCGATCGACAACATAACGGAAAAGAGTGACGGAAATATCGAGCACTTGGACGCGAAATCGACCTTGACGGACGTCGAAGTGGCGGAGAAGGCCGTCGGAACGGACGGGCCGAAGAAAACGTGCAACTTGGGTACACGTTTCGACAGTCTTCTACGCGTGGCGACGGCCAAGGAGCAACAGCGGGTCAATGACGCGATAGGCGGCAACGTAGAGAGCAACAAGATCATTCTGAATTTGGATACGAACACTACGACAACGATGAAGTCCGATGCTAACATTGTCGACGCAGCGACATCGGCAACGGCAACGGCAACGACATCGTCATCATCGTCGTCGTCTTCGCAGCCACTAACAGCTAACGTGGTCAACGATGAGACTAAATTGGTAAAGACTTCGAAGGACGAAATGCCGAAATCACTGCCGTACACCAGTGAGAACACATTTGTGCCGATCAGCAACAGAACGGACGGGTTACATTCGGACTTGTCCAATGACATATTCGCCTCTCTGCACGTTCCCTCCAGTTCGCATAATCCGGAATCGATATCACCCACGGCAGCGTTCCTGATGGCTTTTCCGCTTGTGTCGTCCTTGAACGGCAAAACCGAAGTCCTGGACGAGGAGATGAAGGATGACTTCAAGTATCATAGTCAGACTCCGCCGATGCTGTTGCAGATAGGCACCATGGAGCCGAACAGCTTCAAGATCAAGACTTCCTCGCCGTCGCACGCGATCGCGGAGAAGCGGCTGAAAACATCCTGCGAGGAGAAGCAAATCGCGTCCGCGAGTGTAAACGCGAACGCCGACATAATCGTTCCTGTGGAATGCGCGACGACCAAGTCGTTGCCGAAGGTGGTGAACGAGGAGACGTTGCGAGAGCCGTACAAGATAGTTCAGACCGTCCTGACGCCGAGTTTGGAGAAATCCGTCATGACCACCAGCGCGTATTCTTCCCATACCTCAGTCAATTTCTCCGCCGTGGACTCCTCATGTATCGTAGGCGCGTCCCCGAATGTGGCGACGAATCAAAGTCGTTCGAGTCAATTGAGGACGTCGAGTACGCTGAACAATAGTAACGTAATCGCGTCTCAAGCGCCGGTAAATATCCCCGCGTCTACCGACAAGAGCGATATCGCGGATTGTGCATCATCCCAAGTGGCAACGAGCCGCAATCCCGACGTGACGTACTCCGGACCGCAGGACTTCTTGCCCAGCTACTCGACGATGCTGGGCCATAATCTCGGTACGCTGCAACGTATGTCCAACTCGTCTATGTTCAAAAATGCCAACGCGACGACGCAAGAATCGAATTCCACGGTCGGTCCGCACGTCGACAACTCTCAGAACTTGTTGAGCACTCGGCTCGAGAACGCGACAGTGACCACGAATTCCTCGTCCGCGGCCTTGCGATCCCTGCAAGCGGACTATTCGACTCAAACGAAGGACAAAGCCTCGCAAAGTTCATCGCATGTAATTTATCCGTCGCACAACAAGGACACACTCATCAATTCTGCCAGTATTGTTCCCGATCACCGTGTGGATTACGCTAGTCAGATGGACCGAAGTCTTCCGGTGACGTCCCAGAGCATGCAGAGCTACTCTGTGCCGGCCAAGGAGTCCTCCCTTTCGATTCTGCCCTCTCAAGACATGCAACATATGTACAGCCAGACCAAGGACAGTCATGTTCTCTTAGATTTGAACAGTTCCCAGCAGACGTTTACCGTTCAGAAAAAACAGGAACACATTATCGCGAGCTCTCACAACGATTACGTTGGTAACCAAGCGAAGGCGATGTCTCAGAAGGATTCTATATCATATACAAGCGGCGACAACGAGGCCGCGAGCGCTCCATCGCGAAATCAAGAGTACGTTACGAAGACTGCGAGTCAGAGTTCTTCGGAAAATACTTTCCAACGGAACTATTCCAAGCTAAACAAGAGCACAGACACATTGAATCCGAATCAAGAAGCGAAGCTGAATAACGTGCTCAGCTCTAAGACTCAGGAACAGCAGCAGCAGCATAATCACATACGCGATCCGGCCTACGTTCCCGCAAAGAAGCTAGATGTAGATCCATTCGCCCAGTCGTACCAGTACGACGTCAAGGAAGCGATGAGCAATCCGAGCGAACGGACGAACGTTCTGAACGCGAATACCGACGACACGCATAGCAATTACGTTTCGTATCCCAGTAAGGACGACAAGAAGACAAACGCCGTCTCGACTGTCGCTATGTCCAACAACAATAAGCCAGCAGCGGTGCAGCAAAGCGCTGTTCCACGATACTCGCAACAGACCTCGTCGTTTATCACCACGTCCAACTACGAGCAGAGCACGATGACGGAGAATCACACCAAGTCCACGACCACCGTCGCTCATAATTCGTCCAATTTCAGTATTATCTGGACGACATTCTCGCCGGTCAGCGGTGGTGGCGGCGGTGGCAACAACAATCTGGTGCATTACGATCAGGGACAGTCACATCCGAACGATAATACCGAGGCAAAGACCATCTGCGAGAATTATAGCTACGTACCGTTGCACAAGGACAACTCGAGTTTCTCTAATCAAGTGTTGATTGGTGATAATTATCCGAATAGCTCAACCATGTCGACCGGGATCGACAAGTCGCGACAAGGAAAGATCGAGTCGCAGAAGCAATCCTTCGTTGATTCCTCCAAGACCAGGAATGATCCGTCGAAGCAGAACCGGATACAAGGTCAGCAGACCGGCAACGACTACAAGTTTCCCGACGGTGGTAAGAGCAAAAACAAGTACGGCATAGATTCGGACTACATGCAGAACGAATACGGCGCTGCCATGGATCAACAGCAGCATTCCCAGCAACACGGTCAGAAGAATCATCAAAATCTGTCGTCCAAGCAGGAAAAGGCAGTGTACACGTACGAGCCACAGATTAACTTCGACCTAGCGGAGAGTAACGCGCAGATGAAGTATTCGATCGAGGCTTACACCGGCGTGAATTTCAAATACACGGAGAAGACGCAGCAGCCAAGTCAGCACAAATATCAGATTCTTGGTCAAGGACAGATTCCTTTGCACGACAGCAGCAGTTACAGTAGCGACGTGAAGCACAGCCAGCAGCAGCAGCAGCAACAGCAACAGCAATCGCACAGTAGCAACAATAACGGTAATACCAATAAGTCCAAGAGTAATCAGCACCAACAACACGCGATCAAGGCGCCGGTTAATTGGATGATGACACCGGAGGTCAAGCACAACACTAACTTCGCCGATATTATTCTACCGCCGATCGGCAAGGAGCTAGAGTTCTGCCAAAATAATTTGTTCACGCAGACACCTACGTACAACCAGAGCACACCAAATCAGTTCTACAACAATTATGATGTTTCCGCTGCCCATAGTTTCCCAAATCTACCGGTTCTGCAAAGTGATCCAAAGAGGTCCGCGGAGACCTTCTATTCCGAGGAGCAACCGTTTCCGTGGTCTCCGACGAAAAACACCGTGCATAATAGTGTTGAACATGCGATCGGCCAGTCATCGGTCAAGTGTATCGATCAGCATATTGTACCGTCGAGTTTGCAGAGTCTGGTAAGTGATCTCGATCTTAGCGCCAATCTGGACAAGCAGAACTTCCTGTTCGGCGCTGCAACCTCGTCATCGAGAATCTCCGCGGAGCAGAGCAAGGATGCATCTATAAAGGAGAAAGAGGCGAATAACGTATCGGGACGGGATCTTCACGCGATATTGAATACTCAGAACGCGCAACATCCGGCTTCCACCTTCCTGTCAGTGAGTCAGTTGGTGGAGCATGAGAAGGCGGAGAAGAGCCATCAGCAGCAGAATCATCAGCAGCATCAACACCACCAGCATCACCATCCTCATCCGCACCAGCATTCGCAACAGCAACATCAACAGCAGCAGCAGCAACAACAACAACAACAACAACAACAACAACAACAACAGCAGCAGCAGCAGCAGACTAGGAAACATCAGAGGAAGAGCAACGCGAGTCCCAGAACGACCAGCAAGCGGCAAATGGACATTCGCAAGTCTACAACAACCAACGACAATAATAATTTGCATCAGCGGCACGAGGAACAAAAATCATCCGGGCACGTGTTCACGGAACAGGGATACCAGCAGCCGCAGCCGCAGCCGCAACAGCAACAACAACAGCAGCAGCAGCAGCAAAAATATCAACAGAATAATGTCCACTGGAGAAGCAGAAACTGCAAAAGCAACTATACTGCGGAGGCACTAATTGGCACCAGCATTCATGACACTGGCCAGGATAAGCACGCATCGATCAAGTTCACGACCAATTATCCCCAGAACAAATTCCAGAGCGGTTTGTCCGCGGATGCTGCGGTGATGCCTATCAACTACTTCTCTAGTGCGCCACCACCGGACGACGGCACCGCGGCCGGTTACGGCCAATCGGTGGTCAATCAAAACTTCAACACGTACGCGTACTCGTCCAATTCCGCCAACTCTATCTATCCTACCAGCAACTTCATCAGCAGCATCTCCAACACGCCCAACAGCTACATGGCCATGCCGCTGCATGAGAACGCCGCCGATTACGTGCAGGAGACTAACTTTCTGTTGCCGAACGTGGCCGGAACGAGCAGCTCGTCGAGCGCTAGCACCGTTAATACGTCCAGCGCGAACACGACCTCCACCACGGCTGGGAACGCCAACGGGAACGGGAAGAATCATCAGCACTACGGGAAGCATCCTAACTGCGACAAACGTTCGTATTCCACTGCCGCGAAGAAGGGCAAGCGGAAGGCTCTCGAAAACGGACCCATGCAGAACCTGGAGGGAACCTTTCCTCTAACCGGCATCAACTCTCCGATGGAGGAGTATCATCATTCGGCGGCGTTCCTGGCGGCGCCGCCACCCCCGCCTCCACCGCCACCTCCCGCCAATGCTCTCTACCAGAATCATCCGCAAACGAATGTCTACGCCAAGACTGTCAACAGTCTTCCACCGCCCCCACCGTCGGCCATGGCGAGCGCTCAGGGTGTCACGACCGTGGGAGCGGCCGGTTTTTCCATGAACTCCAACATGGTCCGCGGAGGAATCGTCTCGAGCAATCCGATGGGCATGCCGCATCATCCTTCGGGCACCAGTCTCACCAACTTCAACCTAAGCACGATCTTTCCTGAAATGAATGATAAGGTATCGGATCACGTCCAATAAATTATGTAGATACGGTTCGTTCGATTTTTCGTGCATCAACAAAAACCTTGTTTTTTTTTTTCAGGTCACTGGATACAAATCCTCGAACGGTATACCACCCGGCCTATCGCAGACGTCCAATCAGCCTGCGACCTATACGCAACGAAGTAATTATCCGTCGAACGCTCTGTGCCATTTGCCGCAGGTGTGTTTATAAACGTGTCTCCGTAATACCAAAACCAATTGTGTGAGCCTAGGAAGTGTGTATATACGTTGTTTGCAGATTTCGGAAGGCACGCAATTCATTAATAGCGTTCCACCGCTTCCCATATCTCCTGCTCCTCCTCCTCCTGCCTTCTCATTCCTTTCACTCCTATGATGAGGTTTCATGGTTTGTGATACGATCGATCATCGCTTGTACATATGTAAATACCATATATTATTCATTAAATTAAAAGACGTTGATACAAAAAAATGTATATTTGATTTACGTTAGCGTGTTGAATATTTAAATTATAAAACAAATGATCCGCTAAAGTTATGACGGTTGAGTAACGATTTTGTCATATTAGATTAGATTAAAAAGTGTCGTACATAGAATTGAGTTTTTTAATCAAAGTTCCTTTTTTTGCATCATGCGATATATTTTTATGCCCATAATTCACGTTCTGGTATTGACTCTCTAATTGTCGAGTTACGCTGTCAAATTAATGAGGTTCATTAACATCGAAATTAATAAGAATCTCCATTTAGTTACATAAACATGATCTATATTAAGAACCTGATTAGGTACTTCAGTCGTATAAAGATTTGGATATTTACAGACAGTAGAAAGTAAAGTGTCATTATCACAGAGCGTATATTTAAATACATATCACTATAAGTCCGCAAATGGCATCCAGTCAGCTTAAATCTTTAGTAGGAGGCTTGAGTGGTATTTTGCCGATAATAAATTCTTCAGCCAAGAACATATTCTTTTCATCGTCCGTTAATGCACTATCCACACTATAAATAGTATCATCGATGACGGTGCTGGTTGCAGTGGTGTTGAACGGTGATTTTCCAAACGGAGAAGCGTTGATGTTAGACTGATTTTGCGCGATTCTTCCAAACGGTGAACCGCCTTGTTGCATCCGCGGTGCAAATGGGTTTGCGGCCGTTGACGTAAGAGTTGTGCCAACGTTCGGACCGAACGGAGAGGAAGTGTTGACATTGCCGAATGTCGGTGTGGGAAACAGCGACGGGTTTGGAACGGTTCCGTTGGAGGTTGCAAAGGTAGTTCCTGCGTTTGCGAATATCGAATTGGAAGCTGTCTCTGTGGTGCCAAACGTGCTATTTGTACTCGGAACGGCCACGCCGAATCCCGTGCCGGCAAACGGCGCCGAGCTCACGCTTGTAGAATCGAATTGCTGCGAGCTAGTGGTGACGAACGGGCCGCTGATCGCGACAGCTGGCGCGCCAAACGACATAGTGCCTACCGGCATGGTGGGATCGGTGTTTTGTGCACCAAAGACATTCGGAGCGGATACCGTCGTCCCGAAGGTGGTATTATTGCTGGGCTGTTGATTCAGATCAAAAGGCGTCGTGGTAGCGACGGATCCACCGAAACCTGGCGTCGTGGATACAACGGACGTACCGAAAGCCGGCGTTGTGATGGCGGCTGCCGCGCCAAAACCCGGCGTAACGGTGACCGTGGATCCGCCGAAGACACCGCTCGTGGATATCGCGGGAGCGCCGAATGTTTGACCGCCGCCGAACATCGCGTTGCCAGCGGGATTGTTGGCATAGTTAGGAGTTACCCCTGCGAAAACGGGCGCTCCGCCGAACGCAGGCACCTGCGATTTCGGCTGAGTGAATACCCCGCCGTTGAAAGAGCCGGACGATGACGAGGTGGAGACGCCGAAGACCGAGTTTGTCTGTAATCCAGCGGCGGAGCCGCCGAACAAGCTGGGGGCGGTGGTCGTCGCCCCACCGAACAGCGAAGTGTTCGCCTGCGACGTCGGATTGTTGAACAGCGAGGTGGTGGGCGCGTTGCCGAGCTGGGCCGTCCCGCCGAATACATTGCTGTTTTGACCGAACACATTTTGAGACGTTCCGCCGAAGACTGGATTGTTTTGAGGCGTTCCAAACGTCGGCGCGCTGTTCTGTACGCCGCTGAAGGACGTCGAGGTGCTCGGTGTTCCGAAAATAGAGCCAGCACCGCTCGTCGCAGTACCAAATCCGCCGATATTGTTTCCGAAGTTCGTCGCACCGCCAAATACGGACGTTGTATTATTATTGCTATTAGACTTTCCGAATATCGACGATGCGTTACTCGACGAGGTAAATCCACCTCCGCCAAATGGATTATTACTTTGCACGCCGAATGATGTGTTTCCAAATACGTTATTGGTCGGCGTGTTATTGACTAGGTTCAGATGAGGAGCTGCAAAGGACAAAGCAGATGATTTTCCGGCTGTTTTACTATTGCTTGCATTCAACCCACCTTTTTGGCCACTTCCCAACAGTTTTTTCTAAAACACAATTATATTGTTAAATATAATCAACAGGTTCTCTTCTGCTGATCAAAGCGATTATATGGAGAAAATCATGTGGTTTGACATACCAGCACTGAGATTGTCTCTCGCGAGGGATTTTTCAGCATCTCTCTTTTTGCCTTCATGTCTTGGCACAATTGTTGATAGTGTAGTTTCTGAAAGGCAATATACAAAGATAGCCCGATATTCGATACGCTTACGAATGCACTTTTATGGCTTATCTGGGCAACAGAAATGCCGAAAAGATTTTTTTTCCCCCAGGAATCCTTTAGATGTCTTTTACGGCTCCGTGTTGCTCGAATAACCCATAGACATAATCCTAACTAACCGCCTGTTCGACCATGCCGTTCTTCTGTGCGTGATATATCTCCCATCGAACTTCCTCAGGGGACAAATCCTCCATATCCGGGATACAGGGACGTTCTTTGAGCGGCGCAAAGCACGACAACAACCACTGTCCGCCTCGCTCGGCAAGAAGCACCTCCTTGGCCACCAAGATACTGATATGTGTACAGACCAACGAAAAAAGAAATAAATATTATTCTTAGCTTAAGTATACATATTTATATACGTGAATGGAAACTCGCACACACACATGCAAACTTTATGCGATTACTTACATGATATCATCCTCGTTCTTGGTATTGCCTGTTTGGAAAAATAAACAACAATGTTATTCAACGCCAGTGAAAATGGGGGTGACGCGTGACTCGGTGTATCCACGAAAGATTAGTAACTAAAAGGCCGTGGGTCAATCCCAGTCTTTATTCCCCCGCATATTCCTCGATTAAGGGCCGGTTGTTCCAACCTATTGATAAGCTACCTGATAGTTAAATCACATCTTTGTCCAATGTAAAGGATAAACAAAACATACATATGATTTAACTATTAGGTAGTTTAGCAACAGGCTAAAACAACCAGCCCTAAGAGGATTCTCCGTTTAAGGGGAGAAGAAAAATTCGGAAAGAGAGTAAAAGAGTTAATTGTGAACTAGAATATCTGTGTCGTATTGCCCCTAAAGGAGAGGCAGAACGCATCTTAATTTCCCTCAGGCGAGGAGAAAACCTCAAGAAACCCAAAGCAAGTGAAAAGGTCAAGTGAAAATAACGTCTTTCTTACCGAAATGATTTATGTGCTCGTACTGGCAATATTGTCCGTAACGACAATTGCCTTGCCGATAAAATTTGCAGATAACCATTGTGCTCCACACCGAAGACGAATAAACAAGGGAATGCTTCTTCCCGCCTTCCGTCGCGTCAACGTCGTCCTTATCGAAACGCACGGCACACGGCACCGCTCTTGTACCCTTCCGCTTCCCTCCTTTTATAAAATACGAACTTTAGCTTTGTTTCAAAAAATAGTTTTCTCACATATAATTCTTGGCATGTATAGTTTTGTAATTTACGTCGCTATATTTTCTTCTGGTTCCTCCATTCACGTGTACGAAGAAAAAACGCTTGTTGTAGCATCTTTACGGCTTTTGGGGAACTTCGTAACAAGATGCGCAGTTCGACGGTATTTGTCGGTAAAGCAGTTCCGTTCGATATTTAGCAATTACAGAGATACCATTTTATCGACATCTCTACAAAAATAATTAATATAATTATAGCGAAAATACGAATTTATTTGACAAAGCTAAAAAAATGTTTTCCTTTTTTAAACAATAGATTTGTGTTGTAGAGATTTGCCTAATATAAAGTTAACAGGTTATTCGTAATCAATAAAAAAAAGAAAAATTATTAAAATATTTCTTTATTTTGCATATTAGAATACAAGAGTATATTTTATTATTTAAAAATACATGAATAAAAAATAAATGTGGCCAAGCCAGCATAGCCTTTCATAGATTAACCCTTGGTCTTTGTCTTCTTATTTTCGTTTTTAATGTCCGAGGAAGCACAATTTTGGCAAGAGCAAGAACGCGGAATTGTTAATTGTTTCCTCAATCTTCTGCCGTCTTCGCATATCAAATTAGCAACGATACCCATGTATTCCTTCACTTGACAGCAATGACAATCGTTCACTTGATTCCAATTTTCTGTGCGAGAAAAGAAAAACGAGATAAAAGAGTCGAACTGACCATTGTCACAGAATGTAATAGAAAATTTTAATTTGATTTTGCATTGTTACCATTGTCAAAGAATGTTGAAGACTGGCATGATCCGCTGCATCGTTTAACACCCTCAATAGCATCCACGTTTTTACATTTCCCAAATAACGGATGATTTACAACCAGCATGCCTACAGTACTGTTTGCATCCATGAAAATTGCCTCGCATGTTTCTAAGGAATAGTTATTAATAAACATTAATTAATCTTTATCAGGGATATTAATAAAAATGTACAGCAGAATTCCACAAGCACAGTAACAATATAAATGAAAAAATGCTTGTTCCCTTTTTTTTATACTTACCCTTAACTTGATCTTTTATATTAGTGCTTATGTTACATCGTTTACAGCATTGATCATGATAAATCAATTTGTCAGGGCAATCTGTTACATCTGGGCAAGCAGCTGGACTCACGGCGAGAGATAACTAAAATCATTGCAAAATTATAAAACTGATTGTATATATTTATTGTATGTTAATTAATTATATATAATTTGAAATTCCAAAAAAGATGTTAATTGCATCTGATCTAGAGACGTTTATTCTTCTTGGGAGATAACTTGCCTGTTCGTTAGTTTCCATACACGTGTATATGGTGCAATTATCATCAGACGACCATGTCATGCCAGGCGCGTATAGAGTATCCTGAAGCACGCAAAACGCTTGCTTGCATTCCCCGCAACACTTACCATCTTCTGGTTCCTGATACGACCATCCCTTGAAAATTGATCAACGCGATATTAATGAAACATCTTAAATTTAATAAAAGCACTTAAATGTTAGTACATGTAATAAAATATTCTTACTTGCGCACACTGTTTTGAACACACTTCAACTTCTTTGCGTTTCGTTATATTTGGACCACCCACACATGTCTCAATGACGCAGCTATCTGTAAGGGATTTCCACGTTTCTCCAGGTTTATATAATTTTCCGTCATTGTGACAAGCTGTTTTAACAATTTCCGGACAACATCTCCCTGGAATTTTGCGTGCTTCTATCTCGAAATCGAATTCCATTTGCGGATCGATTTCCGGGCAAGTCTCAGTATTTGCTTGTAGGTACACCTAAAAATGAATATCCGTGCAACTAAAACTAGTTCATAATTTTATTGATTAGTCGATATTTGGAATTATGTCAGTAATCTTACACTTCCATTTGCGGATTCGCAAAGATACGTTATGCAATGATCGTTCGAATACCATTGTTCTCCTATATTTTTAAGCGTGCCTTTTACAATGCACGCAACTTGGATACATGTACCACAGCAATTAACACTGGTATTATAAGGCTCCTGATATTTGTACCCATAGTCACAAGTGGTATCACATTCTTGGACTTTATTTAATAGCTGAATACCATCCGAATCTTTGTCACATTGCATCGTGAGACAAGCATTTTCAGCATTGGGCTTCCAAGTTTCGCCAACCTGTGATGAATGATATTAGTGATATTTTAAATTGTTTTTTAATATTTATATGTTATATATTTATATATTGTATTAATTATATATTGTATTAATATGCATTATAATAATAATATTAAAAGAATTGATGATATATATACGCATCAAAATGTTAGTTCTTACTTGGTATATTTTACTGTTCCATTTGCAGGCAATACGTTCAAAGATTGGACAGCATTTATCATCCAATACTATTTCTTCCAACACATAATCGTCTATATCAGGGTGCACGCTCATATTTGAACATTCCGTGAATAAACAATTAGCTTTAGGACCATCATTCGAACTCTCGCACACGCATGTTTTGCATTTACCATCCTTCCATTCTTCACCAATTTTTTTCGCTATCACTTGTTGCTTGCCTTGGTCTTCGTTATAAAGACAAACGTCCTTCGGAGGCACTAATGCAAATGTAAAATAATTAAATTAACAATAAAATCAATATTTCCATTTTATAGAATTTATATTTCTTTACAATAAAAATACGTAGTGTTAAAAATATTGATTTCTTAAAAAAATGTGTATGTCATTTTAAATTACGTTGAAAATGTTACGATACTTCTCAGTTCAGCAACGTCCGCATACACATAATTTGACAAAATGCAAAAACAACTACAAAAAGAAAAATGTACCACATTCGTAAGTGGGACAACAACTGTCTACAAGCATCGTTGTAACAGCGTTGTAGTAATCCGGACAGTTCGGTACAGGGGGACAAATTCTCGGATCGCATATTTTAGTTGGCCGCGGGCAGCAACCGGATGTATTCATTATCTGTGTGAAACCAGGTTGCAGTTGCTCAACTTCGTTTGTAAAATTGTCGAAAATAGGACATTCACTTGCAGGCAAGCATTCTGAAATTACATACGATATTATGTACCTTGCAACAAGGATTAGATAAAAACTGATGAATAATTATAGAAGGTGCGGTAACACACGTTATACGTACGACATATAAATTTGTGGCAACCATCAGCGTCGATAATCGCTTTCATTTTCTGGCCAAAGCCACATTCCGGCTCCTGTGACTCAACACATATTGTAGGTGCTGTTGGTTTTGGAGCTACGTGGAAAAATCGTTAGATTATAAACAGACGTAATAAAATATATTCCTATTCATTAAAATTGCAGCGTCAGACAGCCACAAGTGTAATTATATTCTTTAACTTTTGTTATTATTATTCTTTTATAAAATAAATTTTTTACAAAACTAAAACTTACAATTTTGATAAGTGAATCATATGTATACATATTACTTAGAAATGTAATTTCCCGTGGCGTTATATGTCAACTTACCGCACAAATATTTATTGCAACATCTTTCCTCCGTTCCATTGATAAGTACAGGTGTCATATTTTCCTCGCAGATCGTGTCCAACACAGGACATTCCATCGTTTGGCAGTTTACAACCCCATCATTGCAATTGCATTCGGTGCATTTATCCGGATGCCAGATATCTCCCTGTACATGACCATCCTTGTCACAGACGAAGCAATCTTTCTTCGGTATGCAGGAATCATTGTAGAATACGTGATCCACTGGGCAAAAGCATCCTTCCACAGGAGCAGATGCGCAGTTAAGATTGTCCGAATCTTTTATAGTATTACATGTTTCTTTGCAGCTGGACCCGCATGCTTGGTAGACGAGATCTGAGCGACAAATATATCTGTTTAAGTTAGGAGAATATACTTTTTGGCAATTTGATATTTAATTAGAGATTGCTCATTTCTCTGTTATAAATTGTGTTTCAAGTTATTAATTAAATTAATATGATTAAAAAAGTTTTAAAGATTTTTTTCTGAATAGCAAAAGTGGATTGAAATTAATGCATATAATAATCATTTCAATCTAGAAAAGTTATTATATAAACTGAATATAAAATATATATATATATATAGAATATTCACGAAACATTCTTTGTATAATTTGATTTTCAATTTTGTTTGGCAAATATATTGTTTAAACAAATTCAATAATTAAGATATCAGACAGAAGCTCACGCTTAGGACATTCGTAAGGGCAGATTTCATCGGTTCTCCAATCTAGACATAATCCAGCTTCCGAACACTTCCTCGCATACATCTTTATGCTGTCGCAATAGTTTCCGCCGGTGCACAACGCATCGTGACAGCAATCTAAATATGGTTTTGGGTCGACAATGCTGTAACACTGCTCGAACGCCGCTAAATCTAGAAGAATCTTTGTGCAAGGATCTTCTTCCGCTAGCGGTGGCGTACACTGAGGTTGACGATTGCTGGAACATGTCTGATCGTTCAGGCCCAACTGCGTTGACAGATCCTCGACTAACCAGGATCTGCCGAACTCCTCGGCGTCATCGGTGATCTCCCCGTTGCGTTTCTTGAAACCACTTTCGGCATCGGCATTGCAGTTGCCGCACAAACCCTCGGTATCATCGCTAAAGATATGCGAAGGAAGTTTCAAGGTAAACGCGAAATTCTGTTGAAAGGCGACGAGTTCCAATTGGATAGACGGTATGAGCAGAGTCACATCTCCAACGGACATTCGATCTAAAACAATCCATGTGCGGTTGTGCGGGAATTTGTTCACTTGGGAATCATCAATCGTCACCCGTAGATCTTTCGAACGTTCCGCGCGCTTGATTTGCACCACGTGCTTCTCGTAGAGCAGCGTGATAGCCTCCGTGCACGTGCCGGTAACACAATACCCGTTAGTGATCAAGATTTGATACGCGCGAGTCCCGTCCGGACTCTTCGCGTTCTCCACATTCCCTGAAAGCAGGTAAGTGCAATTGCCAGCGAATCTGAAGTCCTTGCGATTGAAGCCGATGAATTTGGCGTCGCCAAGGCCATCACACACGCAGTCCCGACACTGCGCTGGCGGCACGCACTCGTTGTCTCGACGCACCAGGCCGTCCGGGCAGAAGCAGCCGGGGAAGCAAACGCCCCGCATTGCCGGACACGGTTCCACCTCGTGCAGATTATCGCAGGTGATCTCGCATTTGCTGCGGAAGCAATCCCGATGAATAAACGGCGACGGGCAGCTCGCGGGACAATCGTAAGCGGTTCTCCAATCCGACAACTGATCGGCGCCAGGACCGATGGCAGCTTCGCACTCGCCGACAAAGCTCGTCAGCAGAAGACACCGGCAGCCTTCGTAAGAGCTGTTAGAAGTAGATAGGCAAGAGCACATGCTCTCTACGCAGCGAGACACAAACCTGCGACAATAGTAATAACAATTTATTTTAAGGAAATATATATTGTATATTTTTTAAATAATATAATTTATATAGAAACTCATTTAGCATAAGCGGACAAAACTTCGTTTCAAGACCTTAATTTTGTTAACGAATTTTACGCTCGTTTTAATCGTTTGAGTTAGCAAATTTCCATTGTTGAATATTTATAAAATACTACCTGTCGACGTCGACGACTGCTGAGCACGCGTCCAATAACATCGGACTCTTCACGGAGTTACAGATTGTCCAACCCTGCTTCTGAACGTCACGCGGACACACGTGCAGATCGCATTCCGTGTCTTCCATCGCCCAGCTATCTCCAAACTGAACGGTGCTCCTCGCTTGGGTACCTTCGGGTGTCTGGCGATCGTTCGCAATATTACCGTCGAAGTATCCGCACAGGCCATCCACGCGTCCAGCCAGTTTAGCGGCGACGCCGATCTTCACGTTGGTGCCCGAGTCCCAGATCACCCAAAAGCCATAGCGGTGTGAGACAAAGATAATCTTGTCGCCCGTGCGCGAAAGCTCGAAGCCGGGGAAACGATTTCCGAGTCGCACAATCTGCTTGGCCGTGAAGGTATACTCGTCTATGTCCGCGTGCAGATCCGGGTAGAGCACGATCGCGTGCTCGTTCAGCATCACCGCCAGGATCCGCGTGCAGGACCGTTGCCCGTACGAGTCGACGCACAGCTTCTCCAGCGTGACGTACCACTCGTTACCGTACATGTCCCGGGCTAGAATGTGATTGCAGATATCGTACTTGTACTCCATATTGTCGAATGTGTTGAACGTTCTGCCCGTGACGTTGCAGATCGCCTCTTGCGGTGACAACGGTCGACAAATGTATTTAGGACACTTGCGCATCTTATACATGCTCATCTTCTCGTACACTACCTCATAATCCGGCGGGCAGAACGCTTCTGGACACTTTACTGGCTTTTCCTCGCCGGGATAGACAGGAGGGCTAGCAGGCACGCAAATAAACTCAGGGCATTGGACGTTCTCCGTTGCTAGTTGACGATCTTGGTCCTTCATCGGACGATCATGGAATGGATGCTTCCTCTGTCCCTTCGTCTTTGTGAAACCTTTGTGACCTTTGGATTTTACATTAGTCTTAACATTGTGTTGCGACTTATCGTACAGCCGGGACGCCTTTTTGAAAACTACTCTGTAACCGGGTGGACAAATCGGTTTCTCGCATGGCAGCGGACCAACTGGAGTAGGACCGACAGTCGTGATTTCCTGCTTGATTGTCCCTGGAGATTGTTCGGTCGCGATAGGAGTCGTGGAAATTATCTTTGGACAATCTGTCTCGTCATCCGGACAATCCTGAACGCCGTCGCACCATGCAGTCTCGTTTATACACACGTCGCTCGTAGCACAGTGCCTGGTGCCCGCTGGGCAAGGTTTGCAGAGGCAAGCGCACAGTTCGCCGACGACAGATCGCAGGCCTGGCTTCGAGCAAGGCTCGCACTTCTTCGGTAAGCACGCAGCTGTTCCGGAGAAGGAGCACACGCATTGCTGGCAATCCTCCGTCTCATACATGCTTCCTACCTGTAATATAAGCATTATTGTATATATATTTATCGCAGCCTATCGTTAAAAAGTTTATTCCAGGACTTCAATAAATTGCATATTATCGTTATTGTTACTATTGTTATTACCGCGTAAGGAATATGCCCGACTACGCAAGGGCACTCCCGCTTCGGTACGCACGACTCTCCGTCCCACCAGTGGAGATCCTCGCATCTGCAGCCTTCGTCGTTCGACGTTTGATCGATCCCATCGCACACATTGCACTCTCGATCGACGGATATTGTTGTCGATTTGGCTGTCGTTGTTATTGGTACAGGATACGATAAATAGCAGCCCAGAACTTCGACCTTCAACGCGACGTGATTGTGCCACTTGACGGGTTGTATCCTCAGGAATTTCGCGTGCAACGGCCTCTCGAAGAATGTCGTCCGTCGGCTTTCCGCGTCGAAATTGCCGAGGAACACCTTCTCGACGCCGTTCTCATCGACAACCGGATTCCAGTGACGTTCGTCGTTGCTGTAGAATATTTTGTAAGCAGTCGTCCAAGCGCCGTCGCCACCCTTGGTCGTGACTCCGGTCAGATTTCGAGCCTCCAGGAAGTCAAATTGAACGTATTGATGAGGATTGTCCAAAGCCGCGCGCCACGCACCTTCCACGGATAACCGAAGATGTTGAACCAGCTGCGGCGAGCTCGACACCGAGACCTGCTGGATGGTCATCAGTCCGTTGTCCAATCCCATCGGATCCTCGCACACCGGTCGCACGATCTTCTCGGAAGTTGTTGTCTTCATCGTAGTCATTGACATCGCGCGATCCTGACAACCCAGTACTTCCACTTTGATCGCAATCCCGTTGTGCCACGTCAGCGGATTGATGCGAACAACCCTCGCCTCCACCGGTTGATAGAATTTTTGCTTCACGGACTGGACCTTGTCGACGGGCCCTCTGAACACACGTGGATGTTTTTCATGATCGAGCACGTATGAGAAGGTCTGGCCGTCCTCCGAGAAGAGCATCCTGTAACTGGTTACGAATTTATCTTCGGAAACGCCGCCTTGCAAGATCACACCGTAAATCGGTTCAGGTTTATTGAACTCGATGTCAAGCCACTGATTTGCGTTCGTCGTCTCGGGTTCCCAGAACTTCTTGGGTAGCAGCAATGTTCCTTCCGTCTGTACTAACAGGTCCTCGGATAATAAAACGGGCTTCTTACTGCTGCTAGTATGGACAGTCACTTCCTTCCGCAGATTTTGTATCAGCGGTACGTAGTCGGCATCATCGCATTCCCCGGGTGGAGTGACCGTGCTGTGTAGAAGGATTGTTTCGACGGATGACGAGGTGACTGGTGATGTCCCCCAAGTGTTTTCAGAGGTTGTACTGAGCGGTGGTTGCGCGGTAACAGTTGTTTCCGGTCCCTTTCCCGTCCCTACCGTCACTTCATGACCCGAGATGCTATAGCAGAAAGTCGTGTCGCATGTGTAATAATTATTGATGCATTGGCAGGTCTCGCAGTCGGACTCCTTCCTGATAGCACCGGGCGCGACCGAGCTTCCATCGTGGGACCTACAAGAGCAGTGACTCGCCTCCACGCAAGTGACACTGTCTCTCCAGAAAGTGTGTGAGGGACACGTTGGTCGGTCGATCGGGACGCATCCGGAAACGCAATTGGTACCTTCGCCACAATGACCCTGCGTCATCAGGATGTGACGATAGTATTGGCATGCTCTGTCGCACTGGATCGCGCATTCGCTCCACGCCTCGCCGTCCTTGCACACGTTCGTGGTCGATACGATTTTTTTCACCGTAGTCGACACCGTGTTCTCGTAGTGGCTGCCAGTGTTGCTGCTCCACTCGATTTTGCCGCTGGTTGGCGTAGTTCGTCCGGATGCTGAACATTCTGGTCGCGTGCGTAAAACCTCCGTCGGCCAATCACATGTCTGGGTCTCCGAATTGTAAAGAGTGCCGGGACCGCACGACTTTTCCACCAGTTCGTGCCCCGTCGATGTGGGAACACACTGATAAAACAGCTGACAGTTCGTCGGATGTGGTGAATTGGGATTCGCTACATCGCATTTCAGACCTTGTTTCTCCCCGGTCACCGTGCTGACCTCCGTTGTCACGTTTTCGACACCGTGCGTAGTCGATTCGGAGCAGCGGCACAACACGCTAATCTCGAAGTCCATGCAAGGAAGATTCGGGTGTGATTGGCAATACAAGCCACGCTCCAGACTGCACTCCACGTCCAGGCCGGTCTCCTTCGGGCTCAAGTGTCCCTTGACGGATCTGCATCTTATATCAACGATGTGCTTCCTATCGCAAACTGCGAGTCCGTTTGCGTTGGCGAGATCCATCGAATTGGGCAACGGCTCTACGTCCAAGAACTTCTTCCCTTTCACCATTGGATCCTTGTTGATCCACGTGGTCCAGCCGTCCACGCATTTCTGGGGCTCTGCTCCAGCAGCAGTAATAGCAGTGGTAGTGGCGATGCTGGTACAAGCTTCTCCCTTGCAGGTCACTCTGCCGCGGCTGCAAAAGCAGCTGTGGCAATCATCGCCACTGATTCTATCACCCTCGTAGTATGTCACCCCATTGAGCTCAGTGCAGAAAGGTTTCGCGCACGTCGATCTGGGTATACATTCAGTGTAACTGGAATTTCGGTACACTTGGCCTTCGGGACAAGGCTGGAACTGGCAGCCCTCCACGCACGTATCCTCCGCGCACAGATGTGAGCCGTCTTTTACGGTCATAGAATTATCACACGTCTCACGTGGACAGGTCGAGACGCAGGGTGAATACGTGCTGCATTTTTCGTCGCATTGTAATGGGCAGAGCTCTTGCGTTCGCCACTTCACGGGAACACCCCGTACGTTGCATTCGTGCGCGTACGCGGCTAACGCTGTGCACAGGCACTCGCAGTCGCCACCGGCGTCGCAGCTGCACGCGTCGAAGATGCAATTGCGCAGGTATGATTCGACCTCCACTTCTGAGTGACACGGCGAGAATAACGGCGACTTCAGCACGTCGCATTGCCGTAACGACCACAGTTTACGTTCTGGATGTTGCTCGCAGGCATCACCCTGCACGTCCTTCGGTTCGGGACAAAACGTATCCTTTTTCCACGAGTCGCCGAACAGATTAACGGAAGCCTCGGATATCCCGCCGGATGGTGTCTTAAAGTCGTCCTCGGCGTTGTTGTTGTAGTCGCCACATAGACCCATCGTGCGACCCTTCCATTCCGGGTTTAATCTTACGTAGACTCTGGTACCTAATCAAAAGAATTACCAAAAACTTCCTTCAAAAAAATTCAGCCGATTTACATTTAGATTTAGACAATCTGCACAGTGCTTACCCTTGTCCCATTGTAAAACCAATCCTAAATCTGGCACGTCAACGAATACAAAGAGACCAGCGGTCCTTATCGACAGTCTCTTAAAAGGTCCCTTAGGTAGCGCTTTCCCTTTGGTTAAAACTAGCTCTTCCTGTTGTTCACCGCTGCCAATCGTGAGCTTAATCGATTTCGAGCATGCAACTCCATTTGTACCGCAGGGTACGTTCTGAATCGAGACATCGAAACAATCTTCCTTATTCAGGGCACTCTTCACTAGGACATAGTCGCATACACCTTGGAAATCATATGTTTTACCATCAAATGTCTTATAATGCGAATCGCCCCATACAGAACAGACTCCTGCAAAAAGAATATTATTTCAGCATAAAAATATGATGTGGGATTGTGATAGAGTAAATCAAATTCTCTTTCGTTTGAAGCGATACAATATATACTTGTTGACAAAGTTGAGGAATAAAACATACAGAGAAATAATGAAAACAGTTTTAATTAATAGCGAGTTAGTGTAGAAAAAAAATCACCTGCACAAATTCTGTCCGTGCACTTCCACTTGGTGCCCTCGCACATGCAAGTATTACACTCGGCCTGTATAACCGAGCCTTGTTTGTAGCTCTTTCCGCCGTGATGACAAGGACAGTCCTCTTCTTTGATGCATGCACCATTCGGCGCATCTAAGACATATCCGGATTTGCAGATGCAACCAGACGTGCACACCGATGGCGTTTGGTCGTTCCGTATGTGCATGTTGCTGCAAGTTCTCTGGTTCGTCGGCTCGCAGTCCGTCACCTCCAGATGCTTGCCAGCCTGGCAAACGGAAAGCAGTTCCGTGACCGGTGAATAATCTCGAATCTCGTCTGGCGTTGCCAACCGGCACTCCCATACGCCGCCTGGAAGATCAGTGTAGAATAAAATTTTACATTACGAAATACTACCGGGAACAGATTCGTGCTTTAGACACCGACCTACACAAGAGCAAAACTCTTGTCCCTTGTTGCCCGGGCGGACTTCTCGATGATTAGGCTTGTACTCGCGACCCGCGTGCATGCAGGGACACTGAGCGATCGGGATGCACTCGCCGTTCACGTCTAACGTCTGGCCGTCTGGACAATTGCAACCTTCCACGCACTCCTGCTTGCAGTCCCGATAAAAGGAGATGTCCGCGCACGATCTGCATCGATAAATTGAGCGTGCGAAAAGCAACTCGAGAAGCAAGTGCAGTGAATACGTTACAGCGTGCTACCTTGCGCAACTGTTTCCACAGATTTGATAGGTCTGTCCGCCGCTGCAATGAATTTTACACTCGCCGATTTCAGTACGCCACGAAAGTTTCACACCGAGCGCCGCGCAATCTTTCGCATATGCTGCTAGCATGGGGCAGAGGCACGATTTTATATCAGCGTCGCACGCGCACATGTCGTACATGCAGTCCCGATGAAATTCCGTCGGATCGACATACCAATGGCAATCTGAAGTAACAGGAAAATAGTGAGATTATTCGAAACCATCTATAGATATAAAAAAAAAGTTTTATATGTACCTGAGAAAATATCACTATGTATCTTGGAACAGTGTTCTTCCGCGGTTGCTCGCCTTTGAGGATTCAACTCGCAGGGATGTTTTGGTTCGCTCTCGGACTCATCAACGCAATATTCACTTGTCTTCCATTTATTGGCGAAAGCAATCGCCGCAGGTTCTATATCACCGTCAGGCGTTATAAAATCATCCTTTTGATTTTCGGTAAACGTTCCGCAAAGTCCTTTCGTTCTACCTGAATAATCGTGGTTCGACCAGAGAAATATTCTTTGAAGATACAATAACATAGGTAATTCTTATTATAATGATAGAACATAAGACAGAGTTTACCGTGAAATTCAGCAGGAGCGTTAATATAAACGCGTGATACACCATCCCACCACACTTCCAAAGCATTTGGCAGGTGAATCACCATAAATATGCTGCTTGCAATTCGTATTCGGGCACCATCAAATAGCATCGGGAACTTCATTACCTCATCACCATTTATCGTGATCTGGCGATTCTGCTTTAATTTTATAGAGGTATCCCTGAAAGTGACTATAACAGCTTTGACGCACGACGGGGAGTCTGTAGAGGCAAAGCCCATTCTCTGAAATAAATGATAATTAATTAGAAATTATTAATAGGTGGGGAAATAAGTAATAAAATTACTAAAAGTTCAATATGACAAGTTTCTTCAACAAAAGAGAAATTTTTTCTGACCTCGGATATCGTTCCGGAACACGGGACGTTTTCGCTCTCGATCGTATAATTTTCCCCCTTCATCAAGTAATATTTGCATTTTCCCATGAAATCGTAATGCTTGCCGTCGAACGTGGTATAATGCGGGTCGCCCAAGACGGCGCATCTGGCACCGCATCGTATTTGCGTGCACACCCACTTGCCGGAAGTGCACGTGCAAGTGTTGCAGCCCTTCGGCACGCTCGTGCCTGGTTGGAACAGTTTGCCTCTCAATCTGCACGGGCATTCCTCCGGAGAGACGCATTTGCCTTGGTGCTCCAAGGTGCCTGCCGGACAGAAACAACCTTCCTCGCACTCGGAACTCTCGCTCGTCGCTTCGATGCCGGACGAACAAGACGCTTCCACCTTTGGACCGCATGACATGTACACTCGTCCACTGTCACAGGTAATCGCTAAAAGTAATTTATTTATTTATTTAGGAATAGTAATTGAGTAAGACAACGAGTAAGTAACGTTTATAAAATATTTTATTAACTCACGACAAGTATCATCGTTTCTCCACGCGGTTAATCGCGCGATTCCTTTGTAAGCGCATTGGCGAATATAAACATCCATGGTATCACAAGCGCATTTCCTTCTGTCATCGTGTTTGCATGCACAATAATCCCACAAGCATGCATCGGCCAGTTCAGAAAGATTGATTGTATCAGCGCAAGCCTTGAATTTATGGTTCGAGAGTAACTTAGTGCAGAACTGGAAGGCATCATGAGCAAATTCATCTCTCGATTCACACGCGTGTTGTACACTCGGATAATCGTCGCATGGTTCTATAAAATAAAGTACGTCGTAACTGTTAAAACATTTGTCTGTTAACGTGGATCATATTTTACGTAAGATAATTTAGCATTTACAAAGTGCAGATTAAAAATGTAATTCTCATTATCGTTACCTTCGAAACTTTTGACGCGCCAGGAACTTGCCAACGCCGGTACAGTTTCAGCGTAACTTCCGCTCTTCATTAAGAATTCGTCGTTCGGATCGTCATTCATAGTACCGCACAGACCAGCCGTTTTGTTCCACATACTCTCGGAAGCCTCAATCTGCAGTAGCAAGGCGCCGTCCCACTTCAGCTTCACGCCCAGCGAGTCGAGGGAGACGAGGATGAAATGCGCGGACTTGTCCACGCGCAATCCAGGCAAGTACACCGGTATCGGCAGCGATCGTTTGTCGTTGGAAAACATCGGCATACCTGTATCGTCGCTGGTGAGTACGTACTTCTTGTCATGCACGAACAGTTTCACGATCTTGGAGCAATGACGATCCGATCCGGTTCTGCAGCCCGGGCCATTCGACGCGATGATTGTACAAACACCGTCTTGCGTATCTCGAAGAAGCGTGTGCGAGCAGCCGCTATCGAAGCTGTAGATTCTATCGTCGAAGGTCTTGTAGTGCGTGCCTCCCCAGGTAAAGCACGTCTTCGGTCTCGATCGACTCATCTCAAATACCATTACGCGATCGTCCTGAGTATTAAATCGAATCTGTAATGTTTCATATACCGTATAAATTAATTATATCATTCTCACTTTATTAATTTGGTAAACATAGTTTCTTTTTGCATGTAACACTTTTAGTATCTATTACGTATCTAAATTTTATTGATATTGAATGAATCGATAAACTATTTACTGGATGTGAAGACGCATCACTGCCGTGAATCCTGTAATTTTCACCATAAATCTCCTGCTTCATTTTGGCGTCGTAAACATTTTCCATTGACCAGGAGTGATTCGATTCCCGTACGTAGGTGTTGTGGAAGGTGCCGTATGAGATAATCTTGATGTTATTTTCGACCTTGCATTGCGGTACGGGCTGCGGTTCAAAGATCCCCTTGTCGTAGGTGCAAATGTAAACTGAGGAAGCTGGGAACTCGAATTCTATTCCCGATGGACAGTACAGCGTGCAGGAATACGTGTCGCCGGAATCTCTGCAGTGATATCCACCATTGAAGTGTAGTTTCTCGGCATCGCAAACATCGGCAGCTGCCATCCATACATGTTGAGTAAATATAAAATTTGAAAAAAATAAATTATAAACATATAACACGAAAGAAATTTATTTAATAAAGTTTATTTTCGCATATATTTTCCGTTAGATAAAACTGAAACTACTACGAATTATAAAGACATCTCTTCACTTACAGTATTGACACTGAGGTCCCCGATAATCCTGCGGGCATTGGCATACATTCATCGGCAGACAATTGCCACCATTTTGACAGGGTGGATCACACACAGCTGTAGAGACACAATTTTGTTAAAGAGACTATGTCCCCGATTTTACATGGCGTAGAGAAATTTTAATAGTTATACGCATACGTTCGCAATCCGGAATTGAGACCCAGTCGCTTCTGGTTGGCATCCAACTCCCGTTCTTGCAGATTAGATTAGCGACCGATGAGCCGTCAGGAAAAGTAAAATGTTCCATACAGGATATGGTGCATGTTCTTAAAGAAAAAGTCAAAAAGAATTAATAATTTTTACTTGCAGAAATGTAAAATATAATCTATACACATTATACTCACTTCGAATTACATCTTTTATAGGAATTGAGCACGGGCGGAGAATAATTCAGACACGGTTTATCTTCGAATTGGCACTGCGGGCCAGTAAAGTGGGTAGGACAGTCGCAATGATGAGGCGCAACGCATATCCCCTTATTTTGACATTCCGGCATGCAGATCGCTATCGAAAGATTTAACGATTTAGATCGCGAAGATATTTTGTCGTTTCTCGATCTTCTACATCTATTATAAATTAAATATAGATTTGCTTTTGCTACGTACGTTCACAATGTGGTATCGAGTTCCACTCGGTTCCTCCAATGTGCCATTCCTTATCAACGCAAGTAATTGTCAGTTGAAGTGCGCCGTTCGGAAATTTGTAATCCGGTGCACAACTTGCGATACAACCGCTATTCACAAAGAATTGTTACATCTATCATATTTCTTTAACGTATTATACGTTACACTTCAATTCGTAGAATTAAAAATAGCTCGTAATCTTTATATCTTCAAGAATTCATAATATTGCAAATATCTATTTTAAAAATTACACGAAAATTTGTCAGTTTATCTATCGGGTAATTTAAACGTGATTTAAAATTTGTAATATCATCTTCATCATTTCAACTTTCAATATATAGGGCCGATTTCACAGTCTCCGATTAACTTGATCCTCCGATTAAAGGGGACAGTTAGAAAGAGATGCAGAGTGAGTTAATCGGAGAATCAAATTAATCGGAGACTGTAAAATCGGCTCATAGTACCTGTCCAGAGAACATTTTATTTTGCCGTTTACAGGCGCGCCTGGTCTACGTGCACAACCCCCTGCGAATACGCGTTTTCCTCCTTTGCTGCTTTTAACATTGTAGAAGCCGCCGACCACTGAATCTGGCGCATCATCCAGCATGTCCTCCTCCCTAATACACGAGACAGGACATTTTTAATACAATTTACATAATTTGTTTCTTAAGGAAAGCAGAATGTATAATATGTCATTTTACATATTATAAAAAAGAATTTCTGTTTTTACAATAGAAAGATGTACAATATACTAACTCATTTGCTTCTTGCGCGTCCATAGGCCCTGAATATCCATGTTTTATATTGCTCGCAATGATAATCAGCACGAATAAACGCCTGAGTATCTGCAACGGTATCATGATACCAGCGCGAATTTCGTGTTCACGTGCCAGAAGAAGTTTAACTTGTATTTTCGACGAAGCTCGTGGACCAAGTAACACTTTTAAAAAGCGCAAATCGGAGAGAACAGCCCTTTTATATATCTACCTCTAGAAGGAAACGGATAAGTGATAAGCTCAAGTTGCACTTGATAAACGAGAAAGATGAAAAATGTGGGTCAGTCGGTCGTGGATCGTACATAGACGGTACCTATATATAAAATATTTACATGTAAAATCATGTTGTGTGCATCTATAATAAATATACAGTATAGAGAAATGCATAATATTATAGAAAATATCCTATAACAATTATTACATTTATCAAAATGTGATTATCTTTTCTCAATAAAGTAAAATTTCTTTCTTCCATAGATATGTTTTCTTTGCATCTTCGAATCTACGTGTCCTACGCAAACTTTAAATTAATTAAAAATAATAATAAATATATAAATTAAAGCAAAAGAAAATACACACATAGTTATTCCTACATAATATATCGAGTATAATTGTTTTTATTAATCATTTGAGAGTTGCGATAGGCACGCTTCTGTGAAAACGTTTTAGATTAGAAACGAGATTAACTTATCGCTTTCGTTCTAGACGTTAATGAGCCTCTAATTAGCTTGATAAAACATCCTGAGCACAACAAGGAAAATAGTTTTATCAACCATTTCCGATTGATGAATTACCCACAACGTATAAGCGGATTAATTGTATAGTACAGTGATCGGCGTGCAACTTTTGGCTTGATTTTCGTTGATACTCACCCTCTTTATCGCTCCTGTAGTAAATTGAATTATGGATAGTATCAATGTTATATTTATTAATATACTTATTTACCAAAGTTATATTTATTTTAATGTTTGGATAATTATATATAAAAAGAAAGGAATATCACAAATATTCGTCATGTCTTAGTACAATCACCTTCTCGGTACATTATATTATTCTATTGACAACTATAGTAAAGTGTTGAAACTAGCGTTCTAACAAATACTCTCATTCAGTTTTTTGTACTATCCACAATACTTTTAGTCCTACAATTAAACGTGGATCGATTTCCCGCTTTGTAACTCGCCAGTAAACAATTTAGCGCGTCTGGAGTCATCCGATAATTTTTAGCAATTTTTAATTGCTCCGGTTCGGAGTATCTCGAGTGCCATATTTCGTAATAAGCATCGCTGGATATATCACTCAAATGCGTGATGTTGAATTCCTCTTGCAATGCAATCTTCCAAACCTGGAATATAAATGTACATACGATTATTATCGCGTCAATTACAATTCGCGTCACATTTAGCAAATAATTTAAATTTATCTACACTATACGATTAACACATTGATACTTGATGGAATTAGAAATAAATTTACACATAGGGTTAAATACTCACATCCTCTTCGCGTACTGGAACCTTAGCAGGGACGTTACCAAATCGACTCTCACCGTTCAATACATGCAATTGATACAACAAATAATTTAGGGTGTGCATTTTGTCGGGCTCACTGGCGCTGAAAGTCACGGACATCGGCGAGCAGCATTCTTCTTTTATCGGGTATACAGCACGTGTAAAATAGCTGCCCGGTTTCGCAATACCCCATAGAAGAGTTTGTAAGGAATAACCATGGAAAGTACCTCTTAAGTACTGATCTCTGGTATCAGACGGATGTATGCCTAAGGACGACAGATGCCTTCCTGTAAAATAAGACAGAAAATTGATATCGCAGACACGCAGCTATCACAAATTTACGTAATTATATTGTTTACCAAGATAATAATCTTCCTTTTTCCAATATTTTCCGCCTTTAATACATTTTTCCGTAGTATTGAACATTTGCACTACTTTATCCAGTGTGGCTCTACTAAGAACATATCCGGATTGAGCAACATTGTAAGTCTGACCCCAAAGAACCACTGGGTGACCCAGATAATAATCATGCCTATGGTCCAACGGAGCAACCATATATCGCAGATTTTCTGGTATGACTATAGTATCGTCTTTCACGAATATAATCCACTCTAGCGTGTCTACTTTGTCGTTCCAAATATAATTCATAGCTTCGCACAACAGTTGCCAAGAAGATACAATTTTTACATCTGCATTAATAACAGGCAATTCCGCATCCTTCAAGCGATGTCCAAAGAAATATATATTGTTGCAACGTTTACCCCACGTAGCCTTGATTGATTTTCCTAGCTTGAGCTTCTCCACGAAAACCACACACGTGACAGACACTTGTTTTCTCAACCAGTTCCATTCTGTGCCTTTAATCTCTCTCGCGCCGTCTTCTTCTTGCGGGCTATACAAGTATTTGTCCAGATCAATTTTGCGTAATTTCAAGTTTTGCACTGCCAACCAAGCGTAATACGTAATACTGTTAAAGTCAGACGTTTCGTTTGCCTTTTTCCAAAGTTGTAGAATAATCTCTTCGTCATGGGATTTTTTATTCAAGTAGTATTCAGGCTGCCACAATGATGACTCTTGATTGACAACTAGATCGGCCACGAATATACTCCTTAATGAAACAAATAGTAACGGAAGAACAAAGCCGATCCCGGAGCCGACCAGGAATACCGATCTCTGTTTTAAAAATCGGAAACGCATTTTGTCATCACAATGAAAAATTCGATGAAATCCAGTCGAGTTTTGTCGGGACTAGCGACAGGTGGTCTAACATCAAGTAGAATCTATATTACACTCGTGCCTTCAGTCATTATGTTTGACCTTCGTTGAACTCAATTATCTCATTAAGATATGTTTCTGCACAGATATTGCGTGTACATTTTAAACTCCTTTGAGTCTCACTTCTTTATTCTCGTTTGTTCCATATCGTTTGCAGAGTCGATTTATTCCGACGGGACTGCAAGCATACAACACAATTAATTTATACATTGAATACATCGTGTCTATATTCGTCACTGATTATTCCAACTAATTATATTAACAACGTGATGAGCATTAATACATTACCTGCGGCATGTGCTTCATTACGTATGCGTTGACGATAAAAAGTAGAATGAAATCATCATAGAATCATCGATAATATTATACTGTAGACTGACATTCTATATGCCAAAGCGTGTTTACACTCGAAAACTTATAAATAATTTTATCATAAGCGTTCTATTATAAGCAACCGCGACAATCAGTTTGTGATATTCGCTGCTGTCCAATCAAGTATTGAAAGGTATTGAAAAATAAAAATTTGCCGAGCGTACGGTGCAGCATATGGTGATCTAAGACAATCATGATATCCGTTGCCGCGTTGAATCAACAGGTGACATAAACAAGACATCTGTTGGGCCGACGTCCTAACCTTATCTTGACGCCTAACCTGATCCGATGTAAATCAGCTGACGATCTGTGATTTTGAATTCACAAAACGCAAGATAAGATAAATCCATGAACAAAACTTTTCTATAATAAAGCAATTTCTTTTTTCCCCATTAGTGCAATACATGTAATACATTTTATACAACAATAAAAATATTATGTATTATAAAAGTAGGAATATTATTGGAAAATCTTGGTTGCTGAAAGCATTTGTCTCATTTTACCTGAATTAGAAAGATATATGTCAAATATATATTCAAGATTTCATTTATTATTAACTCAGAAATAGATATATAGCATTATACACTTATAAGTTCATTGCATATTCCTACGATAAGAAATCACGATAAATATTTTATAAATCCTTCCGCATATAGTAATTCAAGTGTACTGAAAGTAGGGTATGTTTTTAATATGAAATATTTTAAAATTTTATTATACATTGAGAAAATTAAATTTTCATACGTTCTTAAATGAAATAAATTTAGTACAGTGTAAATGTATAACAGGAAATATGTATACATATTTTAAAATTGTGTATGTGTATGCATATATATTTTTCTTACGCTTATATAAATTTATATGATACTGCAGAAAATATGCAGTGATCAATTAATAAGAATTATCTGTTTAATAGACTTTACTGTTAGATTTACCATTTTTTATGAAAATAATTAAGCAATTCTAATAAAATACTGTAGATTTAAATTTTAATATACATATAATTTAATATCAATATATATATATTAATAATAATATATTAGTTATTATTAATATATATATACATATATATACTTATTTATCATACAAGATTGTGTTGCAATATTAATTACATTATGATTGTGTTGCTGTTCTACAGTAATACTGTACAAGAAACCGAAACACGTATAATAAGAAAAAATTCTAGAAGCGAGGAAAAATATTAAGCTCAGAGAAATACCTTGCAACATTTGCAATTCTATGAGATCAGAGAAGTTAGAAACTGACTTTGCCGCGTACTTTAAAGAAACCTAAGCCGTTTCTATTGTGCACTAAGGCACCGAGACCGCAATAATTCTCTATGATGATCGGCATGTTAACAACGTTGCATTCACGAGGTAATAAACTTTTGAGCGTAGTATTGAAGGCTTCTATGTCAAATCTCGTTTTAACAATCTCGGTTCCATCTAAAAAGACATCACAATTCTCATTAGCACACGGGCAAATCTTTTATACAGCGATACCACGGTTTCTTTAATATTGATTTTCTTAACATCTACCTTTGTACCAGAACAATGGGTGACTAGCGTACGTGAGCCATGGTATACCTCTCGCGAACGGATTCCACTTTTTTATAAGAGGCAAGGGTTGCCCTCCGTTCCACATAAGTCTTATTCCCGACAAATGCCGCTTCCTGAAAAATTTTTAATCACGTTTCCGCAGACACTTCGATATATGTACGTGAAACAATCCAATCTTTTATGCGCGTATTTTTCTCGCGGTGTTTTAACTCTTGCAACGCGTCGCATTACACAACATTGATAAAGTTTTATAAAGATTACATATAACGTAAATACACAGAAAACATACTATGTAAAACAAGCGTTTATTAATACAGATATATGGTACGATACAATAAAGAAGCGGTAGAAATAAATACATAGAAGGCAAATTGACAAAACACAACAAGAAATTAGTGCTGATAGATAACAAAGCTGTATACCTAGGCTCAAATTGAGCAAGATTAGAGCAACCTGCGATAGACGACAATTCCTGACGCACTGCACAATGAATTATAGACGATACGCCTTCTGCTAATCCGCTTAATCGTCTAGAATATATTAGATTGACATGAATAATATGCACCAGACAAGAACATAGAAGCATGTAATTTCTATTTTATATCGAGCATATATTTTTACTGTATGTACGTCTCATTATATATAAATTATATAAATTTAATGTACATAAAGGTCATAAAGTTTTTGGTACACAAATTACTTATAAATATTACAAGTACTTACGGTGCAAGAGACGAGGTTGGATAAATCAAATCCCCCGTAACTACCGTATCAAACAGCAATATAGGTATGCGATTAAAGTCCAGTATCTTTAGAGAAATAAAGTCGTACTTTATAGAGTAAAGGGCTTTCGTCGCCAATAATACGAGTCTTTCCTTTTCCGTGTCCCACAGACTTATCCTGCAAACAAATAAAGTTTTCTGTCAACACAGAGTGTTACAATAACGGAGAATCGCATAGACTTTTATACAGATAGTACGTACTCTGTCAGAAGCCAACTTCCTACGAGCTCGTCATTGTTTTGGTTTATCAGTTTCTCCGTACAGTCGCTTATCGCCCTTTCCACGACCTCGTTCCTGTCAGTGAAAAATGTATGAACGTCTATATGCTTGAATGGCACGTTGCACACGTCTCTCGAGGCCGAATGCTGCTTCGACGCGTCATCCGCGCTCTCCGCCGACGCGGACGGTCTGACAGTGACAGCTGAAATCAAACGCAAGTAGCACGTTATTTTTGCAGAATCGAAGAAAATTATTAAAAAATTGTTGTGTGACAGTCCCCCGGAGAAACTGACGGCGAAACTCACGGTCGGTATTGGCGATTTCTAGGGTGGCTCTTTCGAAATTTACCGCAGGTCCCTCATCCAGACATGTCTCTTCCATGTCTCCGGGCTGTTCGTCGACGAAAGGTCCGCGTTACATGTATCGGAAACGCGCGCGATAACGGAGGCGAGATATATATCCGAGGCACGACTTTTCAAAGTTGATCCACACACAAACGCATTCGATCGAATCCGAATGACATTTGAACGCGAGTGACCTCGCGCGGCGAAAGGCTGAAGCTTCGAAACTGGAGCAACATTGGCCGCGTTCAGCAGACACAACTGTTGAGTTCGCCTTATCAACACTCTGCGCTGATTAGTTGGTTCTGAAAGTAAGAGCCAATCACGTTCGACTGCGACTCAGCGGCTTGGTCTGCTGAACGCGGCCAATTGGAAAATAAATTCTCCCGACGCATATATTCCGATTATCACTTTTGTGCCACACAGTATACGCTATTTAAATTTTTCTTGGACAATTTTAATGTTAATTTTTTTTGTTTTCCGCAGATCTTTTTTTTTACATTAAAAAATCCAAAATTGCATTCCGAGTTTTCCTGTAATGAGTTTTCCTGTTATTTTTAATAAAATATAGTACCTTAGAATGCATAATGAACAAAAGCCCTTTTGTATCCCGACTCACTGTCATACTTGTAACATTTATTAATCTGCTTAACAAGTATCAACATGATATATATTACAAACGTATATTATCCTCGCATCTCGTACGCCAGCTTTACAAAAGTACTTAAATATAGCTGACTTAATCTATTTGTACAGTTTACGCACGCTCTTGTTACATACACACAGGTGTTCGTACATACATACACAAAGGTTGTTCTGTACAAAGTAGCACGTTGCAAGGCATTGCAAAACGAAAACGTGTAAGCGGCTAGAACAGAAAAGACGTGTGCTATTGAAAACGTACATGTATATGTATATAAAAAAAAAGAAATACGTGCTACGATACTTGGACTCACTAAATTTACGCTAAAAGCCTAGCTTTGGTTCGATTACTTCTAAGTATTGCGTTAAGTAGGTCAATCCGTGAACAAGTAAGTCGTCAACTTTAATACATATATGTACATAGATATAACGCGTCCCAAAATCACGACGTTCCAGTTATAAACACCAAGCTGAAATTGTGGAGGAAAGTCTACGCGCCGACCTTGAGTTACAAGCAGTTAAAACTCGAAGCACGAAAATACGTGTACTTGGTTTCATTACAGAGATAAAAATAGTTTTCCATTGAATCCTTCCACTGAAGGTTGACCGAAGACAGCCTCATCGAAAACGCGTGATTCTGAGATATCCTGCACGCGTGTTGAACTGGCATATGTACACATATATGTACATTATTAGAAAATCTCTCCTATGACTACTTTACGTATTTTTACACCTTATCGATCCGTATCAAAAGTTTCTGTGTCACTTGTGCCACATTTGCAAGACGCAAAATTAGAAATTGATCATTACTCGAATTACGCTCGAATTATGCCCGATTTATGCCACGTATTGGCGAGCAATTACTTTTACGATAATTCGCATCAGTCTTCTTGTAAACTTAACTTTAAGCGTTGTAACTAAGGCATTACCGATTCTCGTGCGCTTTACAAGATAAAGTTAAAACTTTGACTAGAGAAAGTACGTCCAGGAAAACGCGTTAGAGATAAGATCGAATTCTGGTCGCACAGTCGATTACTTATAATGTTGTACGTCATCCAACATGTTATCCGACGACGACAACGTCAAGCTTCGTTCTTCGTGCATTCCCTTGGCATAATTGATTTGTTGCGATACCTACAAGCGCGAAGAAGACGAGTTAATGAATGGTAATAAGTCGGGATGCTCATGGAATGAGAAAGAGAGAGACTATCTTACGCCTCGTTATTTTATGTACTTACTCGCTTCGCCACCTCTTCGTTGTCACAGCGTACCTTCGGCCGCCTCAACAATTCGGCCAATCCGTCCAGGTTGACCGCGGCCGACGAGTCGAATCTGGATATTAACTCTATGTAATGTAGAGTGACGTTGTTGCTTTGAACCTTCTGCATCGGCTGGCAACGCAGGAGATCCGCCAAACTGACTTGGGTCACCACCGCTTTCGTGCCGCCAGAGATAACGCGTACTCTCTCGTTGGACACCAGCACTCTGAGATTCTCCGTGCCGCTGCACAGACACTCGTAGGCGACGAAGAGCTCGGAATAGTCGCGATTGTTAATGCTGTATAGGAATTCCTGGCCCTCGGCCTGCTGACGATTGTACGGCGGCAGCAATCCGGTAGAACCACTGACGACACGCGGCGGTCGGTCGCGCTTCGGTATCGCACGATGAGCGCTGTATAAAAAAAGAAAATCAATCCGACGTCGAGAGATACTCGCAGCGCAGTCATTAGGGAAATTACGATAATATAGTCATATTACCTTCTACTTGTCTCTCGTACAGCACTAGCTGTCTCTGTTGCTAGATCTAGAACACCAACGACGGGTTTCGTTATTGTGCCTACCACTCCTCTTCCAAAACCCGCGAAGAAGCCCTAGAATTTTATATCGTCCATTATTTCTAAGTTCTATAAGATGATATTTATATCGGAGGGCCAAATTTATTTTTAAATATTTACTGGAAAACCCTCGCTGGTTGCTCCGTCGTACGTCTGTTTAAATATACTAGTGACACCACCCAGCAGACCAAAACCGAAACCCTTTAATCCGGCTACCAAGTGATCGCTACTGCCCGTAGTGTTAGCCCGAATTCTCTGCCTGGCCTCTTCGTGTCTTTCGTCCATAATCACTCTCCCTAAACCGTCTGACAGAGATTCCGTCACTTTCGCTGCGGAGTTCGAAATACCGTGCGTGACGTTCTTCACTAGACTCTTCACGCTGCCTTCGTAGATAAGACCAGAAACACCTTCCGTGACGTCATTCATGAATCCAAGAGGATTTCCCAAGAAATCTACGGAACCTAGAATAACTGCAGCTTGCCACTTCAATTCCTAAAAAATACCATTTATTTATTAAATCAATGAGCAAGCGAAAAAAAGCTATATATCGAAATCTATATTTGTCGTACATCTTTGTAATGTTTTACGATGGAATGTATTAAAAATTGACTGCTCTCGAATGGATGTTTCTTAACAAACGGTTCCAGCTCGATAGTGGCGTTCTCAAAGTTAATTAGAGTCAATCCCAATTTCCTCTTTACAGCCTGCAGATGATGTGGCAATTTCGTCGTAGTGAGCACGCTGAGTTTTACCTAAAGAGAGAAAAATGTGTGTCATGTGAATAAATGTATTGTTAATGTTATTCATGAAGCAATGAACACAGAGTCTCTGCTACATCGATATCTACATACTTGATTAGGAACAAGTTTCAGAGCGCCAAAGTAATATCTCTTGGCATGCGCGGCGGACACTTCGGAAATAAATCTTTGTGCCTTGAAATCATTCTCGTCGACGGGTACTTCCAGTTCCGACTTGCCAATTCCAAGGAATGCTGCCAGTTTCAGGATAAATTTCTCTTCTAAGTGTACGCATAGTGGTTTGACACTCACTATGACATGTTTATATATCTCGGCATTCTGATTCTTTGATTGTAACTTCTCCACTGCTAAATGAAGAGCGGGTCGGTATTCGTCCTCCGTGCGGGATGACCGTGTCACGAACAAAACCGAAGTGCATTGCGCCTCAAACAGTTGATTGTCAATTTGCACGTCGGCGACGCTCAGATCCAATGTGGTATTCAATGGGGTCTGCACTAGATCTAAGGAGATTGCGGCCAGCCGCGCAAACAACAGCTCTTCTACCGGTCTTTGCGACACGATGGACAATCCAAGACCGGCCGGCAAGTTCAGCTCCAGATTTAATTCGCTAGAATCCAATTTCTTAATATCGGCGTTGACCTGGGTCGGTCGATGACTTACGGCAATGTGCGACCAATCGCGTTCCTCGAGTAAGGCAAACGTTTTCTTCTAAAATACAAAAAGATCTGTGTTAATTAATTCGGACATTAGTGTTATCAATGATTCGTTTCTTGCGACATTATATGAATAATAATGTTTGCAATATAACAATTTTTTCTAACAAAGTAAATAAGAAAATGAAAGTAAATGATAAACGGTAAATTTGACACCCACCCTTTCCTTGATATCCAAAACTTGCAGAACGCGGGTCGGGCCGTCAGTGGTTACTCTGATCGATAAGAATCCAGAACCCGGCCGTAGCTTTTGTCTACCCACACGTTGCTCGATCGGCGGTGGATTGCCGTGTGTCTGAGGACCTAGTACAGCTTCGCTCCCTAAAAAAACAGCGGCGTTCCTTTTTTTTCTGCGTGTAAAAATGTGATATGATTGTACGACTTAAAAAGAGATTTGCGAATGCACAAGCACTGTACGCCAGAGTACGATAACGCCGTGATTGACTCATCTCACGAATTATTTGGCAATTTAATTTTTGTATGTAAGAATCTTATTCGGAAAAAAGTTTTTTTTTCTCGTAAAGACTTTAAATAGAAAGAAATATTTCTTTTCTTTTATATCGCGCTTTGACGTTCCTGGGAAGGTATGCAATGCTTACGAGGAAAACAAAATAAAAAAAAAAGGATAAAACACAAGCAGAGAGAAAATATATTATAGCACGTAATACTTATGGGTATAAGCTCATAGGAAATAGCCGATTTTAATGTGTACTTTGAAACTATACGTACACATTTGCCAACGGGCGACACTGCCGCCTGCAACATTCATGATCAATTTAGGTCTCTCCAGTTGAAAATAGCGAGAAAGGAATAATGACAAAAAATAGAAGACTCTTAACAACGATGGAAATTAAATCGGCAGACAAAGTAGAGAATACAACACAATATCGTGAGACAAGTGGCGCGCACCTGTCATTAATATTTTTTCATTGAATGATCCGAGTTATTTTGCCAATTCCAACGATACCGTACCGCTCAACTTACAACCTTTTATGTTTTATGCTTCGCATTTACAGGTAGAAGCATTAGAATTATGTCACACACGCATCTAAAAATGGCAATCAGCTCGCAAATAAAAGATATGTTGGACCAATTCAAAGCAACACAAAATAACAGAAAATATATCTGACGATGAAGCGCGTGACAAAAGGAAATTCGCAATTTTCGCGAACAATCCTTATCAATTTAATCAGTAAGCGAATCAGCAAATGTCTGCAAATAATAGTGTCCCAACCTTCATATAGTCCCATAAAGCCGTCTTTCGACTGAACGCACATATTCTTATGTGCGCAGCATAGACGTCCGTCGTCGGTGAATCGCCAGGTCTGTGTCGATCGTCGCCTGGGGTCCGGTTTCCTCAGGGCGAGAGCGCAATAGGTAAACGGTTGCGGTGCGGTGCCTGCTATGTCCAAAACGAATATCGTGTCCGGAGCTTTAGAATGTTTGTCTCTCGGTGGACTGGAGCCTGTCTCATTAAAATTGTCTCATTAATTATTAAACATAAGAACAAAAGTACGTTATTATAATTTTCCTCGTACAAATTATGTTGAAAAAAATATTTTTATTGACATTTTTGTGTTACCTTCGTGTTGCAGCTGTCCATCGCCGGTCATTCTCCAAAGCTGCGACCTGTCACCGTACTGTTTCCTTCGAAGGGCAACCCAACCCCCAGAACCAGCCTCTAAGACTAATCTTTGAGTTTCTACATCTAGCGGATCTAAATTACTTTCGCCTGTTCCGAGATCGGAATCAGTCTTGAAGGTGCCTGTCAAGATAAAAGCGCATGATCGGTATTTATGTACACGTACTCTATTTTTTATTTTAGCCATTTTATAATACCTGTAAACGCAATGTAAATGAAGTTTTCGTAAGTCAGTCCTCTACCCTCTCCTAATAGATTTAAGTCATAAGAAGCTGTCACGCCTCCGGGTGCTGTCAGCACTAAACCAGCAGCTTTTATTGGTTCGTCCAGGGCGTATGGTACCGATGAATGGGGTCTTACGGTCCACTGCAGATTATCAGGAACTCCGATCTAGAAGTACGGAGTTGCAAATTAAACAATTAGCCGTAAAATTCATGAAAATAAAGCTAATATAAGTATTAACAGCATAATTTAAATGCAGCTCTAAAGAGAGATATAAGCACACCTGATTAACTAGTAAAGGAACTTCTGAAAAATTGTCTACTCTTATAGGCGGCGGCATAGTATCAGCATCAGTAAATACGATAAAGAAGGTAGTCTCCTGCAGCACTACATCTACTCGTAGAAAATGCATCTTCCCTGTTACATCCCTGACATTAATGGTTAATGAATAATTGTCATCCAATCTGATACCGCCTGACCACATACAATCCGGAACATTAGTGATTCTGACGCAGAGCAATAAATCTTTATCCAATCGTGGCCAGTGGAAGGGCATGTGACAGTCGGGCATAGTCGTTATGTATGTCGCCTGGGCATCCGGATGGGACTGAAACCGATATTGTATCGAGTAACAAAAATTATCGTTCTTTGATATCGTCTTGATTGATTGTAAGAAACTTACGACAGTCGTCGTGAAACATTTCTGAGCCAGCTCCAAAGTGCAAGATGACTTGTTGTGCAACTGATATCTCGGCGATAGTGTAACCACTGTAGTAGCTCTGTATCTTCCTCTTGCTGCGCGAGTGGCCACGCTAATCAAGTAAACTATATCGGGTCTGCCATCGCGTAGACTGATTCTCAAGCGATGAACCTATAGGACATAAAACAAATTTATCATCGTCATCAAAATGATTGAAACACTTTGTAGCAAGTTCCATGAATTTGTTCCTGTATCAGAAATAATACTAGTAATTATCAAAAAGTCAAAAAGTTAAATATATAAAAACACAGAAACACATACATGTGTAATATGTGGATAAAAATAATAAAATTATTACAATAAAGATCGGAATAAAGATTTTATGTGACAATATACTTACGTGGATTCCAGGCTGCAAATGAAAATGCTGAGACCACTGTGGTATTCCTTGACGATGAACTTCCGTTCCGATCCTCACCGACAGAGTTCTACTGGCCTCTTCGTCGCTGAACGAGAATAGCAATGGCGCTACCATCCTCGCTCTTTCGTGTTCTTCGAATTGCCCCGCCGCCTCAATGCCGACTCCCTCTTGTCTAAACACCAACGGCAAGCCGGTCTTGTTTATAATCCAATAAGGTGCAGTAATATTGATTTGCATGGCTGCCCCTTTCTCCACTGCTATGGTTGCTTGCAGGTAAAGCATTCTGCTGGCGGAATCCAATAATTTGAGACGACCAGTAAAAGAACAACTGTTCGGTGGCAGTATTATCTGAAATATATAATTATATTTTATTATTATTTAACATTTCACTATTAACTAATTATTACTGAAACGTGATAAAAATAAAGTTACCAAAGAATCAAATTTGACGTGATAAAACCAATTGTTACACGTACCACTCCGTATCCTGGATAACCGTCTAATTGAATCGTAATTTCCAGTTGCTCGTTCAAATTTGCGCAATGCAAATCCGCGCTGCAGCCGGGAGTGATTCTACCGCCTTCTATACCTGCCTCGTACGTCAATTCGTATGGTAATAAGTTCGTCAGAGTTATGGGTGCCATTACTGTGATTGTGTGCGCCGGCAACACTTGCATACCGTCAGGTGGATAATTGTTTCGTCTTACGGCCACGCACATCCTGTGGTAAGAGAAAACAATAGTCAAGTTTTGCTATTAAGCTTCACCGAGGAAAAAACTCCGTTTCACATACCTGAATATATTGTTCTGATTAGTCCGGCAAGTGACATAGCTCTCTGTTACCTCCGACGGCTTCTTAACTACCGTCCAGTCCACCGATTCCATGCAATATTGGAACAGGTAGTTCGAGATGAGCGGTTTGAAGGACATCTGCACCCCGGTGTGTGTTATAGGCGCGGACATCACCGATTGCGCCGGGACTTGGAGAATTCTTCCAGTGCTGGTTGAGGTCAAGTCTGAAAGAATACAATTGTTAATCAAATTTGCTAATCGTTATCAGAGGCGGATCATAAAAGATAAAACTGACATCCAAGTTGATTTAACGATTTCTCCATTTTGATCTCGATCGGATGAGCCAGCTTGTTGGACACCTGAAGAGCTGATCTAATGGTAACCAATTTCCTGGCGGATCCTTCCAATTCCACAGCAAACACGACCCTAGCTTTCGGTGTGAGCGGCTAAAATTGAACATTATTATTATTCTTTATAATGCGCCAAGACAAATTCTTTTTGAGCAACTAAAAAACGAATATAGTAAAAAAATGAGACAATTTAATTGTAAGGTTTACGAAATAATAATTATATTTTGTAAAAAGATATGCAACATCACAGAAAGCATTAAACAGAGAGATACAGAACACGAATATGAATCACGCTGTTGGTTTTAATCGAAATACAAGAAATATGAGTATAAAATATCATTTTACCTGAAATCCGGCAGTGTCAGCATTTGCATGTCGGAAGTAAATGCCCACGCGATCGACGGTCACAGGATCCACCGGCTTCCATCCTTCAACCAGAACCGCAATTTGATGCCTTCTGACGATATGCGTCGCGTGATGTCTTAACTTGCCTCTCTCTTCGAACGTAAACGGTGTTGTGTCTCCTGGTATTACCTCGATCCACGTGTTGTCCTTGTCCAGAATGTTCTTCGCTTGAGATGACGCTTTGCTGACGTCTATCGTCTCGTCCGCGGTGGCGATGAACGTTTTAAACCAAAGTCGACAGCCAGTGTCATTCTTCAGGGCGAAAGGTATGAAAGGCGATCGACGTCGATACATCTGTCCCCCTGTCACCGATTTACTGACAATTACGTTTCCGTTAGATAGATAGTAATCCTGTGTCCAGTTGTGTTTGACTAGTTGCGCGAGTTCCACTAGTGTCAGCGTGACATTAACGTTCACAGAATCATAGGAGTTGATGGATACGTGCAGTCTCTTTGGATCGAGAGAACTAGTAAATATCTGTTCCCATTCAATGTTCGCCCGCCAAGGTTCGACAAATGGTTCCCATCCGCTTAGTACTCGATTGTAATAGTCCACGCCGATGGTGGCCGACAGCAAGCCGGGCTGCTGACTCAGCTTCCGCAAGTTGAAGTCCGCCAAGGTAATTTCCAGAAGCGGCACGTCCGCGTCGCGACAATCGTCGATGATACAGATTCGCATGCAGGATATCTGCAGCTCCACGGCCCGGAAGACCGAATCGTCGTACGCCGCGACCGTCTCGGCACTCGTCGGCACCGCGTTCTGCGTCAGCCACAGAGCGGCCTCGTCCAGCTGGCCGTCACAGTGATCTAACGCGATTCTGCAATCGGCCTCCGCAAAACCTAAATTGACTAGCTTCGATACCTGACTGTCCATCATCTGGCGGCTCTCCACACCCGTTTCGTTCGATCTCTGTCTCGCCCATAAAGTCTGCTTGGGAAGTGAGCTCAGCATCCTAGAGAACATGGTCACGTCGTGATAGCTCAATCTCACGCACAGTGGGTGTAATTGGATCTCCAGGCATCTATCCTGAGTCAGATCCAAGCTCGCCCCGACTGGATCGATGATCGACAGGGCGGTCTCGTTTTCCAAGCCCAGGATGCACGAGAACAGTTCGCAATGCGAGAGATTGCAGGAGAGCGGCTTCTCGCCTTCCTGTGGCGACGAGCGATACGACAGGACGGCGGTCGTCTTGAGAATCACGGCGTTGGTGTCAAGGATCGCGGTGTCCTCGACGATGACTAACTCAGAGTCAGTGATGTTGATCTTCAGTTCAAACGGTACGGCGGTCGCGGCGGTGTCGATGACCTCGGCCTCTTGATTGACAATTGAGACATGCAGGGCGCCAGGTATAGGGTCCGGTTCCGGCGAGTTCAGCAACAGGAAATCTCGCACGGCCTGCCACCAGTCTAGGATGGCAGTTAGTCGCATGCTATGCAGCAGAATGGTGGTCGCCGAGTAACCCTTACGTTTCCGATGATGTACCTCCGCTTGAACGCGATCCTGCGCGGCTTCAGTCGTGTCGGCCGTGTCTCTCAACGGCTGTAGGATTTGCGTGAACACGTTGCACTGCCGATCTATCGGCTCGTTCTGAAAACGCGTGTCCGTGATCAGGATCTCCTGCGACACCAGATCGATGTCCTGCGAGCCGTCGCTCAGCGAGTCCAGCGTCAGTCGGGACTTGATAAAGTTGATACACGCGAGCGCCGCGATGTTGTGTCTCGGGTGCAGCTTCACCGTCACGTTTACCAGCTCGAGAGTTATGCAAGATCGGGTCCACGTCTTCGCGCGATTGTCCACGGTCGGGATCGCGTATTCCACCGTGTGATTCAAATCCTGCACGAGGAGGCGCAGATCGTCCAGATTCTCGCTGATGTTGTAAGACAAGAGGCCGCGGATCAGCATGTACTGTTCCGGATCCAGGGCGCAGTCCATCGTCGACAATATACCGTGGATGCTGAGATCGGGTATGTCACGGCTGACGTAAGTGTCAAGATTCCGCTCGACGCGAAGCTTTAGATGACACTTTTCTGTAAGCAACGAGGAGCCCATTTTTTTAACGAGGAAGCCGCCCACCATCAAGGCGTCCGCGTCCTCGTTCAGGCTCGAGTCACACTTGAGCCGTCGTGCCGCGTACACGTCCATGTTGACCAGCTCGAGTAGCATCACGTCAAGCAAGCAATCCGGAACGACTAAGGAGGTGTCGAATCTGTTGTGTGCTGTAAGTTCTCCCAAATCCAGCAGAATTAATTCGTCGGACCTGGAACTCACTGGCAGCAGGATCACCGGCGCACCGGCGTGCAACTGCAACGATAGTCGCGTACCACGCTTGTTCATGTCAATGACGGCACCGACGCCGGCCCGCAGATTCCGCATGATGCTCCACAGCTGCGAGAAGTGACCGAAGAAAGCCTGTAACTCCGCCACGAATCTCTGAGTGTGAACGTAATGCACGGCGGACATCTCTAGCTTCAGTCGCGCGTCGTGAGGCCGATCCTCGCAGTCGGCGTAGCTCGAGTACTGGAAGTTGAGCGCCTTCCTGCCGGACGACAGGAATCTCTCGCGGTAGAATCGGCCGTGCGGCGTCAGGTCCAGCAACGACATCGAGCCCAGCGATCCCGACACCTTGGTCTTGCCGTCCACCGTTTTGAGGATGTGCATGCTGGCGTTCGACACATTGGCCTTGGCTATCTCGCGTTCCAGCTGCGTCAGCACCAACGTCAACGATCTCACTTCTATCTCCGTCTCCGACCTCACCGGCAAATTGTCATCCACTTTGCTCGCGCCGGTACTATCGCTATCCGGCGTGGCTCGATGCGCGGCGACTTCGTCACTCGCCGTCCCGGACAGGCCTGCAATCCCAAAGAAGTCAAACACCACCATCCACGATTCCACGCTTATCACTAAGTCCAGGCAATTGAAGTCCACGGTTACCATTTTGCGATGGAACCGATCTTCCGGTACGATACAGCCGTTCTCTTCGGGACGTGTCATGGTGATGCTCATTAGCACCAAGTTCTCTTCACTGGTGATGCCGCCTGGCGACGGCGGCGGCGTGTTCGGCGTGTCGGCCGACGAGACCGCCGGTTTTCTGCGCCAGTGCGCCGGAATCGCGTCGTACAGAGTGTAGGTCTCCAACCGATCCGGCAGACTGCCGCGTCCGAAGGCGTTCTTGTACTGTCGCGCGAACGCAAGATCTGGACACGATCTGGATGCGCCCGTAGGCAGTTTCGCGCGCGTGGGCGCCGACGACTGCATCATGTAGCGATGTCGCGAGCCGACCGGGCACAGAAGATCCTCCATCAGGAGAGAGCGCAGGGCGACCTGCACGCTGGACTCATTTCGGTGTAACTTATCGTACTTGACGACGAAGTCGCGCATCGACAGCTCCACCAGCGGCTGCTCCGAATGCGCTTGCTTCAGTTCCACGCTGAGGATCGGTAGCTCGAACGAGACCTTCACGCAGAGGTCGAGCTTCTCCGAGTAGTCGGACGTCCCGTCGAGATCATCGTATTCCGACACCGCGGACGTGGCAGTCACGGCAGGCATGGAGATCAATCGGTGAGCGGTATCGAGCAGTTGCTCGTATTGACCGCGCGACAGCGATACCTTCAACGGCGTTATCACGGCGCCGTGCACCTGGACAATTGGGCTATTGTTCGTAAATTCGCCGCCGTCGAGTAGGAAGCTCATACTTTGCGTTAAGGTGTTCTGCTTCTCCACCAAGATCTTCAGCGTTGTGTCATGCAGTATCGGCTTACCCGACTCCTTGCACGAGTACATTTCCTCGGCTCTTGGCAGGTTGGTTTGCGACTGCCCGATGTTGGCGGATACCTCGAGAGAATACAGATTCATGTCGCGCACCTCCAGCGTGACCTTGTGCTTCGCCATGGAGCCTAAGTGGGGTTCGTGTCGCAGCGACATTGTACCTAGATGAGCAACGAATACTTGTTTGCTATGGGAAGAACGCGGTATCACGAGCACCGGGCTTTCTAAGAGCACGTCTAATTTCAACGACAGCGCATTTGCGTTGTCTAGATCGAACGAGACGCTCGGCAACCGTTTCCGGGGCGGGATAGTCCAATCGTCGGCGTTCACCAGACCGATCGCCATATCGGTGGCGGCCGCGCTGATCTGGCGCGCAAAGTTGCTTAGATATTGCTTGAACTCGTCGGCACACGAACGCAATTCTGATATTAGGTGCGGCGCGTGAGTGTACCAGACGCTAGCCACACGTATTGTGAGCTCGAGATCGATTTCTACGCAATCCTCCTCGTTGGCTGGCTTGGTGCTGCGATTGGCCACGAATCTGAACGCTTCCGGCTGATCGGATAAACTACTAAAGTGCTCGAGCGGATGATGTTGCGGATCCGCCAGAGGATCCCTACCCACGCTGATTATCCGCTGATGAGTCTTCCCGGTTGATGTCTGGTCGAGAACCTGTACCCCGCCGAGAGAGCCCGAGATCGACGTGTTCGCGGCCAAGGTCGCCTGTATGCGCGCGTCCGACATGGTCGCCGTGGCGATCTTCTGCCCCACCAAGTGATTGTCCTGCATGACCGCGCGCAGAAGTAACACATTTAAGCGATGAAAGTCAAAGGTGATCTCAGTTCTCGTTGACATCGACCTTATTTCCGTACTTTGATTCGACAAAGAATCGTCTCGGCTCGCGACATACGCTGCCTGTGATTTTTGCAACGGCAAGATTCTTCGAAAGAAACCTAACAATTCCACTATCGTCTCCTGATTGGCTATGATATCTAGATTATTGAACTGTATATTTGCCATTCTTAGATTTTCCGTAGGGTCGTCTACCAGCGTCAGCTCCACGACAATCAGCGCTTCCGAATCCAATTTTTCTAGGCCGACCAACGAGTTGTTCCTGGGTGAATGCGGGGACTTGGTTTTGTTCACCAGAGTGGACAGGGCATTGGTCAGGGCGACAGGCGAGGTAAGTCGTGGTGGCCTCGTGGAGTCTGGTGATTCGGGCGACTCTGGCGAGACGGGTGATGTCGGCTCCGAATCCCTTAATCTGCCGGAAACGCTGTCCATGCCGACGTGCTTGTGACTGGCCACCAACAGCTCGAAATCGGGCCCGAATTCCTGAAGAGCATCGACCAAGAGCAGACCGTGGACGGAGAGGGAGACGCTCAGATCAGCCATTCTTTTGCTGAGGGCCGCCCGAACACCAGACACCTGCAGCTCTGCCACGCTGCGACCCCTCGACTGTAATTCAAAGGCCATCTGATCGATGATAAATTGTACCATCACGGCGTGGCTCAAGGAACGATCCAGATTCTCTTCCTTCCTAGGGCTTTTCGGCTCCACATTGACGGCTTCTGTCTGCGGGATGCCGGCGGAAATGGTGAAGCTCGACAGTAAATTATAAATTAGGCGTATTGCGCCTAATTTCTGCTCATTCACGTGCACCACCAATCTCGGCAGATTACCAGATACCGTGACCGACGGAAAGTTAGGATCCGAAGTGGTGAAGATACGTCGTTCGACTTGTAACGATATGTTGAAACGCTCGAGAAAGTGCAAGCTCGACATGCCTCTCGTGCGAACGTGCTTCCAATTGTCCTTTGTCTTACCCACTAAAATCTGCAGGTCCACTAGATCAATGGAGTACTGGTCGTACAATTTTTTATGTAACTCGGTCTCGGACAGACCTTGGAAATCATGTAAGGAGCCGTTCTCCTGGCTACCGGGCGGAGTGGAGCAAGGTGTCTCGTATCTCTCGTCTTCTTCATCGTCACTGATGGTAGACTCCGTTTTCAGTGCCACCTGATTTAGATTCGCGTCGTTTGATAAATGTAACTTGCCAAAATCGACCATCACCACGGCCGCGTTGGAATCGACAAAGCTCTCCACCAATAAGATCTGTGGTGCAGAGATCTTAAACTGTAAATCCCAAGACGAACGGTACACAAAATCGCCGTCCAAGATCTGTTCCCAGTTCTTGATCAGCTGCTTCCTCGTGCGACGCTTCATCGCCTGGAATCGTTGATTGGACGACACCGATCGATGGGGCTTGCACATAAAATCTATCAGCCAATATATCACGGTTGGATTATATACGACATCCAAGGACTGCGAGTACACGTGCAACAAATGATCCACGTTAATGTGCAGCGGCCTTTTCTCGTAAATCAGTTCGAATAAATGACGCGGCGTTTTCGTTAGTTTCTCCGACGAATTGCGGACACGCGAGGATATGCCGTTGGACGCGACTTGAGGTTGCACCAAAATGGGAAACGTGGAGTTCTCCGTGAGAAAATCGTGCAGGTACAACGCGCCCAAACTGATCGAGAACCTGTGCGATCCGGATCTGGGTCGTGACTCATAGCTCAGGTTCACTCTTTCGAACTTCAGTTCTATCACTGTTTTCCTACCGTTGCTCTCGTCTTTCGCGGTGCACAACGATATCGCGCCTTGCACTAGAGCGAAATTAAACTGTCCGAATACTGTGTCGCGACGTAGAAGAGTGTCATCGTTCATAGTGTCCGCTAAAACGTCCAGCAGTTCTCCGTCGAAGGTAGTCGAGCTACTTCCGTTTTGCGTTCCATTGCTGCTGGGAGACGTCTTTGAATACCAGCCCCACCATTGTGGAAACCATTGCTCGAGCATGCCGCGTCCTTGTGGCACATTTATATTAGTCTCTTGTTGTGACTTTGCAGGCTTTACTTTCTCTATAGCCAGTTCCCTCAATACTCGAAGCTCGTCGAAATTCCGCTCGTTCTCGACCTTCTCCTTCAATGTTTTAATTTCCGGAGGTAAGATCGAGGTAGGCGTGCCTAGTGAAGAAAAAAATGTAAAATTTTTATTTCAAGAAAACACAATTGTGAAAATCTATTTTAAAACTATTAAAAAATATTTATTTGTACCTAACAATTTAGTGTATGCTTGAACGTAACAAACGTTCTCTCTGGCTCTGAGAAATACATTTTCCCAGGTTGGTTTTGGTTTGAGGGTATCTCTGCCGAGATGGCACCTGGCGGCGTACTTCCACCATTCTTTGCAAGCTTTTTTAACGGGGATTACTGGCCTACAACGCCACTGCTGTTTACGACGATCTATGCGGTCAAGCTCCTTGATACACATGACCAACTCTTCATATTGAAGCTAAAAGAATAATTTGTTATATTATACGGATCAATCGTATTGATATAAATATTTGATCGTATATCGATTATTGTTATCTGTAAGACTCACATCTGTTATAGATAATGGTACTTCGTCTAAGAGCAAATCTACTACAATACGTGGTTTATTAATAGACCTCAATGGACGTTCTGTTCGATCCCTCTTGATGTGTGCTCTTGCATTCACGGGCGATAAGATGTGCCATCGAATCTTATTTTTGCTCATGGCAATCTAAAAATTAAAAAACTGGTTACAAAATAATAATGTTGTATATATAAAATATAGATAAACAAGAGCGTGTGATTAACGGTGTTATCGCGCACACTGAGTTATACTATATGTATGTCTTACAGCTAGATCGCCTAGATTGAGACCACCAAAGAGTTGATCTTTCTTCACGTGGTCCCAATAGATTGAAAGACTATCGAGTTCCATTAGCTTAAACGACGCATCCGTAAGATTCCAAGATGTAGAACTGGGTATCCAGCTGGCATCACAACTTTGAGCAGTTAATGCTCCAATTGTAATGCCAAATACAATGCCATTATCTACATATAAAAAGATGAAAAGCACAGTGAATATCAATATATGATAGAAAAATTTTTATTCACATTATATTCATATGCGCATATATGACTCTTTGCTTACCGTCTGCTAATGTGATACCATCTTCATATCTAATATGAACATCTTTGATATTTAACTGTAAATTCTCAATGATATTCGTTACTAAAGATGTGCCATAATTCAGCCACGAGCTGTAACTTGAAGCATAATAACCAGGATCGTGCTCTATATCGGTTCTCCATCTAGCTTCCAAGGCGTCCAGTCGACTGAGTTTATATTCTAGTATTGCCTGTTCCTCTGCCTCGTTATCGTACTACAAATATTTGTTTTTAAATTGAA